AAATAGTCAGTGCATTTGTAATTGAAAGAATTGGTAACAATATCATCAGTGATATGAGTCAAGCCAAGATGTTGTTTGACATCAAGGAAGTATCTTGCTTTTAGCTGAGAAGAGGTCTCTTCCAAGCATATTCGGTCGTTGGAACAAACTTTCCCAACAATAGACGTTATTGGGGGAGAAGAATTGTACTGATTTATTAATCGTTGCTTCCATTTGAACTCCTTTGATGAAGAAGAATGTGTTGGAAAATTTGAAACTGGTTCGCTCACTGATTCGTTTAATGATGATGATGCATGATTGTTGGTGATTGTTGGTGATTGTTGTCTTTGAGATTCGGATGTTGTAATGTTATTGGTCATCAATAATGGTGATGGTGTAGGAATGAATGTCGAAGGCCATGAGTATGAAGGCCAGAATATGGGTTGATCAATGTAATCTTGCGAGGATTGATTGGTGTTAATTTGAGACAACTCATATTGTGGAGATTTAAAGTTCGGAATGAGTTGATATGTTGGCCAGTACAAGGATTGATTACTGTTGATTGGTAGCTCAGGTTGTGAACATTGAGAATTTGTTTGGTAGGGATAAAATTTAGACATTTTTGTTTTTAATAAAATTAATAATTTATTTCAATTTTAGAAGAAACTAAATTCATCATCATCGTCGTATTTGATCTTGGTATCGTATGACATATGCATGAACACTTCACTTGACTCTGTTTCAAGTATAAAAGAAATATTCTTAACTTGCAATAGGTATTCAGTTGTGACCACAGAATTGTCTTCCTTTGAAATGCAACTCTTGACAACTTGTCTTCCCCAATTCTCAAATAAATCCAGAACTGGTAAGGTATCTTTAAAACGATATCCAACACAGGGAACTTTGTACTTAATTCCATGCCTATAGATCATTCTGTCAGAGTGGAAAAACGTTGCTCCCTTCATATTTTGAAACATCAGTTGAAAGGTTTCTGTTTCAATACAGCCACAACTAATGGAGGTTCTTCGGTGAATACCTCCCAACTTCAGCATTCTGTTAATCTTGACTCGGGCACACTTGGCAAAAAGTTGGAAAGATCTTGCGACGTAATCTTGTTCTTCTTCACAAAGGTCAAAGTAACTGTAGTTCAGAGGTTCAATTCGTGGTAAACCATGCTCAATGATGATATCTTTGAAATCGTAAGAGCTAGTTTCTTCTCTGCGTTGTTGTTGGATTTGTGTTGTGATGGGATCGGCTTCATTGTTGTTGTTGTTGTTGTTTGGAGCATCGAACATCATTGCATCGCCTTCATCTATGACAATCTCGTACATATTGGTTGTTGCTGTAGATTGGAGTTGTTTGATTAATTAGAATCATCATAATGATTCAGCTAAAATGTTGCTATTGTAAAACTTACGTTATTGTGTGCTGTAATCTTCTAACATAAAATTGATACGTATATTGATATTTACGTCAAGAGTTCAATGTTGATTGTCTTGTCAAACCTACGTGTGTTGTTTTGTTTCGATGATGAAAAAGGGCCACACAAAAACGCGGCACCAGAGACATTTTATATTTTTTTTTGTTGTAATTTGCTGTGAGCCAAATCATCATTTTCTTGGCCGAGAGCTGGCCCAAGCGACCATGGAAAGTTGTAGTGTGAGTTAATTTTGTCATCCTTAAGGAAAAGAATGCACCTTCTCATGGATTCAATAGGTAACCCAACATGTATCACACGTTGTAAAAATAGATAACAAAAAATGACTCGAAATGGTATCTGTCATCATCATCTCTCTGAAACTGCAGAGATGACATCAAGGCTTGTACCAAAGATGTTGCCTCTATTATTACTTGCATTGATATTCATTACAGTGATGATGATGGAGATCCATCCGATTAGAGCCGAAGCTGTTTTAAAGGGAGAACAAAATTTATTGAATTTATTGAATTCGGAGTCATCAATGATGAGAGAAATTGAGAATACAAATTCTCCTCTCCATCATCTTCCGAGAAGAAGAAGAATTTTATTGGAGGATTTGAACATGTTTAACCATAAGAGATCCTTGATGAGAGAAGATGGTTCATCAGTTTTGAGCTTTTTTGAGAAGAATCCTTTTGTGAGCGAGAGAAATGCATGGATTCAAAAATTTCAATCATCATCATCATCTCCAAACGAGAGAAGTATGAAAGTATCTGATAATGAGATCCATGTGTTGGTCACTTTTAAAACAAACAAGGACTCGCGTGAATATGAGAAAATTCTTTCGACTCCAATGGGAGAAAACACTTTCACCTCCAGAGTTAATGTGCAACAATTGAAAAGGTTTGTATTTTGTGTAGTGATAGTAATTGTTTTGGATTATTGGGCGGTGGTGAACTACACAATATATGTTATCTTACAACGGTCAAATAATTCATGGCAATGTTGATGATCCACTCCTGTCGTGGATGTTACAATGAACATCCCAATACATGTATTAATATGTAACTTTTGTACAGACTTATTGAAGATGAAAAGGTTGAATCTGTGGAGTATTTCGACCCCATGTTCAAGTTTGTTGAATCTCAATTTTCATCATCTTCAGAACATGCTTGGGCCAAGAATATCCAAAGATTTTTTGTGGACCCCAATGCAAAATTCAAACAAGTCGAAAAGGAGTTCAAATTATCTGCTGAGCCATTCATTCGTAGACCAAGCGAAAATTGGCAATTCACTTACACAGAAAGAAATGGAGAGGAATATGTTGTTTTGAGAGTCCTCACTGAGGAGAGATCAGCATCGAATTTGAACGGCTACTTGCAAGATCTCAAGAAGTTTTCTCGAGGATCTATTCAATACCTTAATAATGTTGGAGATAGAATCATGATTTCTGTTAAAAAGAGAGATGCTCTTGCTGTCACTTATGAAATTTCGAAACGGTCAGAAGTATTCTGGGTAGAGGTTGCTCCAAAGAATGAATTGCACAATTACTGGGCAAAAGGTATCACTCAAAGCGGCCTACCAGACGTGCAACCAGTTACTTATCGAGGATTAACAGGAAAGGATCAAATTGTTACAGTTGGCGATTCTGGTTTAGATGGAAACTCATGTTTTTTCTATGATAGTGACCATGCAGTTCCGTATGTCAATTCCACTTCATCACTTTCAGTCAGCAGCCACAGAAAAATTGCTTCTTACTGGGGACTCATTGATACTATTTCTGAGGATAATGCTCACGGCACTCACGTTGCTGGAACTATTGTTTCTCAATCCCTCGATGATTCTCTCAGCCAACACAATGGTATCGCTCCAGATGCTAAGGTAGCATTTACTGATATTGGATGTTCCGATCCAAAAGGATGTTCATGCCACGGCGTTGAGAAGGGATGCTATTGCGATGGAGGATATAACAAGAAGTGCCCACCATCTGATCGTTCAGTTTATCCTCCAAATTCATTGTCCGAGGACTACTTCCCTTTTGCATACAAATTAGGAAGTCGAATTCACACCAACTCATGGGGAGGTGGTGCTGGAATTTTAGGTAAGTCATGGATTTTATGTAATTATATTTTCTAACTTTGAAATTCCAAAACAATAGGTTACAGCATTGATACAGCAGATATTGACAAGTATGTTTGGGAGCACAAGGACATGCTCATTCTGTTCTCTGCTGGTAATAGTGGAGATGCCATAGGATACTCTTCCATTTCAACACAAGCAGAAGCGAAAAACATTCTTTCTGTTGGAGCATCTATGAATCCTCTTTCAACCTTTCAATATGTGACTGACAAGTTACTGGATATGAATGCCTATGCACAAAATTATGCTACGCAATTATTGAACATTTTAGGGTGTCCTGCAGAAAATCAAAATTCAAGCAGATCATGTTCTGGTTTTAATTCTGAGTTTTTGGAGACCTGTCAATTTTTAAGAAATTTTAAAACAGAAGAAGATTGTTGCAACAACACTGGAAACTTTTGTTCCAATTCTGGATGCGGTTGTCGATTTTATGGACTGGGATCTTTGTGTTGCAGACAGTGCAGATCCGATCGCCTAAAGACCAGTTACAGTAATATTGTTTATAACAAGGAGAATATTGCATACTTTAGCAGTAGAGGTCCAACCTCAGATGGAAGAATCAAACCTGACATTGTTGCGTAAGTTTTTTATGAAACCAAATGTGTGTGAAACCAAGTGGTTCATTATATTTGTTCTAAATCAATATGTATGATTTGAATGATCCACAACAACAGTCCTGGATATTTTATTGTGAGCGCTCGTTCTCATAACACTTTATCCTCTCCAATGACTTGTTCTGATAGCACTAAAGATGTCAGCCGAGCTGTTCTACAAATGGGTGGAACTTCTATGAGTTGTCCTTTAACAGGTAAGTAGAATGAATATCACCAATACAGTCAGCGTATTTTACACACACGACTCATTGCTACCTTTTCAGCTGCCAATGCTGCTCTTGTAAGACAATACTATACTGAAGGATGGTATTATGATGGTAAGAACAATACATCAAAAGGATTTAAACCATCTGCTGCTTTGATGAAGGCCACCCTTATCAATTCTGGAGTGCCTTTACTTGGATATTTGGACATTTCAGGATTTTTGGTGCCAATTAATGACGCATCCTCTAATCCTGAATTTAGACTTCAAGCTAAACATATTGAAGGATTTGGAAGAATTCAACTGGATCGAGTTCTCATGTTTGACAATTCTACAAGAAAGCTTCTAATTGGTAGAAAAGAAAATATCAAGACCTCTAGCAATGTGAAGGAAGAATTTGGAGACCCAGTTATTAGCTCTGAAGAGGAATCTCATACCTATTGCGTTGCACCAAAGGTTTCAGGAGAAATGAATGACGTCAAAATTACTCTCACATGGACCGACTATCCAAGTAATCCTGCAAGAGGTAAACATTTAGTGAACAATCTCGATCTAGGTTGTAAAATTGATCGTGATGTTTACTTTGGAAATTCAAACACATCTAATACCTTTGATCGTGACAACACCAACAATGTGGAACAACTTGTTTTTAGCAATGTCCAATCGAGAATTGTTGTCAACATTGCAGCTTCATATATTTACAAAGCGCAAAGTTATGCCTTAGTGATTACTGGTGAAAATATCAAATTCGATGAATGTGGAAATAGTGACTATTTTGAATATTCTGCACGTGGAAAGACCTCCAGTAATGGCTTGGCAACTGGAATCAAGATTTTTGGATTTGATCTTGCGTTGGTCATGCTGGCTGTCGTAATCTTGTTAGTCATCATTGCAGCTGCATCCATAACCACATGCGTTTTTGCTGTCATTTGGGTGAAAAAGAAGAATTCACAAACAGCGTTTGCCAGATTGGAAGATGAAAACAATCGTTTGTAAATAACATATGAACTAAATATTTATGTCATTGTTCAAAATTTCACAAATTTAAGGATCTTATTGTTGTATTATTTGAGCGTTTATTCGACAGTTGTTGTGTTCAATGAATTCATTAAGGTCAAAAATTGGGGTGTCGTTTATTTTTTGCTTTCCTGTTGTAGCCTTAAAGATGAAGTGGACTCATTGGTCAGGTAATTCGGTCCTTGCACACTAAAACTCTCCCCATTCTCTTGTTCCAACTTCTGAAGAAACACATCAGATGTATCTTCAGTCTCTTCTGAAGAAGATGATTCCCTTCGACTGCTAAGGATCATTGAATCGAAGACCTCTCGTTCTTCATTCGAATTTTCATCTCGGATTGGGAAGGAAGTCTGAATATCATCTTCGGGTATTTGGTTTGTATTTGCTTGGTTGATGCTGTTGTTGGAATTTTCACTCAATGACTCACATCGAGCGTAGACTCTTTTATTGGTGTAATGATGATTCATTGAACGCTAAAGCTCAACATCTACAGTGTTGTTGTTCCTTTTATTCATAATAGAATGTTTAATGGAATCTTATTTTTCTTTTTATAATATTATGTAAATCCTTAATGAATTTTATGAAAATTAATATTTTTTCCTTAACGATTTGAAACGGTTTTTTCCATTTTTGTAAGATAGAGTATTCCAAACATTGAAAAAATCTCATTCGTATTTGTGTAGAATCCAAAATCCAGTCAATGGACATTTGAATCGTTTTTCCATTCATAAAACCACCACATTTCATTCTTGAAAGGCCTTCGCACACAATACAACACAAATGAAAAAGGAAATATCAAAAGGCAGTTATACATTTGTGCATCATCACAAACTCGCCATTAAAATATACACACTATCAGTGCCCAAACGAAGAATATGAATTCATCGATTGATTTCCTTTTTCGTGAGTCTTCCATTTTTGTATTGTCCAAAGCACTGCTGTTGCTCTGCTCTTCATCTTGTATAATGAATCTATACAATGTCTCTCGGATCTATTTGATCAACAATACAAACAACCAAAGAGGATGGTCATGCTCATCCTTCTAAATCTAAAATGAGTTTCATAAATTTAGTAATTTTCCACCCTCGACTCGACACATCAAACACACAACGTTGTGTTATAATGATACATCTTTCTCCTAGATTTTTCACACTTTCCTTTGAAAAGAAAAAACTAGTGAGTGTCTTCTTCACCACCTCCTTCTTCATCATCATTCAACAAACAAAACAACTCAACAACATTAAGTGTTGATTCTGCTGGTAGTCATCATCATTCACTTGTCTCTCATTCGAAAATGCAAAATCCTCAATCCAGAGAGGACTCGAATAAGAGAGAAAGGAGTACACCTCCTCCTCCCCCAGAACGACCCAGATCTCCCTCCAGTGCCTCTTTTCTTTTAAACTTTGATAAAAAGACTGTGGTGAACACTGGAACTCCTGGAGCTTTAAGGAGAAGTGGTGGTGTTGGTGTTGGCTCATCATCGTCTCCCTCACCAGTGATGATGGGAAGTAAGACCAATCGGACACCACCTCCATCCAAAACCAGTAGTAGTAGTAGTAGTATTTCGACCACCACCACCACCACTAGTAGTACTAGTAATAGTAGTAGCAGTGTTTCGACCACAACCAGTAGTGGATTAAAACCAAAACCTTTTGCTCTCAATGAATTTAAGGATGAGATTTTAAATCTTTCAAATTCCACACCCAGTACTGTGGTGGAGCAAGTGGAGGAATTCAAGTTTGGTGATTTGATTGTAGTGTCCAATCGTTTACCCATGACCATTAGTAGAAATCCAAATGCAAAATCGACTTTTGCCACAGGATTGAATTCTTCTTCTCAAAAGATCTCGTGCAATGATTCACAAAATTCTTCTCATGGAGTGTCGGATGGAAAGAAGGCAACTGCCATGATGATGCATCATCATAATCACCATTCAGGAACGAACAAACCACATGAACAACAACAGCATAATCAACAACAACAAGTACCACCTCATCAAGAAAGCACACCTTCCAATTTCTTGTTTAAAAAGAGTAGTGGAGGTCTTGTTACAGCTCTCACTGGAATGTGTAAGGGTCAATTCAAAAAAGACTTTAAATGGATTGGATGGATTGGAACTGCAGAGTTTGAATTGGAGGAAGAGAAAGAAGAGCTGAGAAATGAACTTGCCAATTTCAATCAGTTTCCAGTATTCTTGGAAGCCGAGGAAGCACACAAGTATTACGATGGATTCAGTAATGGAGTTTTGTGGCCTCTCTTTCATTACTTGTATGAAAAGAATGTCACATTCAATATGGCAGAATGGGAGGCTTATCAAAGAGTGAATGAAAAGTTTGCAGATGCTGTTTTGGAAGTCTATAAGGAAAATGACGCTGTTTGGTAAGTATTAATAGCATATATGGTTCAAGGATGAGTTGGAGTTGCGAATGACAAATCTAAAACCCGTGATCATCATATTTTCTATCATTTCACACTTCCATCATTCTTTCATGACAATCCTTAGGATTCATGATTATCATTTAATGCTATTACCAGCCATTCTCAGACAACGTCGACCAGATATTAACATTGCCTTCTTCCTTCACATTCCATTTCCTTCAAGTGAAATTTATCGAATTCTTCCTGTTCGTTCACAACTCTTGGAAGGTCTGTTGGCGTCGAATATGGTTGCATTTCACACGTATGACTTTGCAAGACATTTTCTTTCAAGTTGCACTCGTACTCTCGGTTCTGACACAACTCCTCGTGGCTTGCTTCATAAGGGTCTTTTCGTCTCTGTGCACTCTCTACCCATCGGAATTGATCCAAACATGTTTCGTGAAGGTGTTCAAAGTGAAGATTGTCGAAAGATCTTGGATGATTTCAAGAATGTGAAATATAAGGGAAAGAAAATTGTGTTGGGTATCGATCGTTTGGATTACACAAAAGGAGTGCAATTGAAATTCGAGGCCTTTGAAAAGTTCTTGACAAATTATCCACAATACGCCAATGATACTGTGTTGATTCAAGTCGGTGTTCCCACACGACCCAATGTTCTTGAATATCAAGAATTGTTGAGTAATGTCAATGAAACAACTGGAAGAATTAATTCCACATTTGGAACATTGACTCATGGATTTCCTGTTCATTTCCTGTACAAGAGCGTGGCCTTGCCTGAATTATGTGCATTGTATACCTTGGCTGACGTATGTTTGGTCACGTCCATTCGAGATGGAATGAATTTGGTGAGTTCTGAATATGTGGTTTGTCAAGACGAAGCAGTTCGATTGGGACTGAAGGCTGTCAAGGAACTGGGTGTGTTGATATTGAGCGAATTTGCTGGAGCGGCTCGATCTCTGGGAGGTTCTATCATTATTAATCGTAAGTAATCATTTGATTGTGTGGATGTTTAAGCATGTAAACTCTTTTTTCACACTTCTCACCTCTCTACACAGCATGGGACATTGATCAAACCATGAAGGCCATTAAGGATGGTTTAGATATGAAACCAGCTGAAAAACACGTTCGTCATAAAAGCCAATATTTCCATCATTATGAGAAACACTGCATCCCAATGGGCCTGTGATTTCATGCAAGAATTTGAAGCTGCTTGTAGATATCAAAAAGATCCTACTGTTTTCAACAAGCTCACTTTGAAGGGTCTTCCTGTCTTGAAACCTGAAAGACTCATTCCAGAATATCAATCTGAACAAAAGAGACTCTTCCTCTTTGACTATGATGGAACGTTGGTTAAGCTGGCTCGAAATCCAATGTTGGCATTGCCTTCCGAACGTTGTATTGAAATGCTGAAACATCTCTGTAGTGATCCAAATAATCATGTCTATGTCATTACTGGAAGAGATCAATATCAAATGACTGAATTCGTAGGAGCCATTAAGGAACTTGGTATTGCAAGTGAACATGGACTCTTTTGTAGACATCCAAATTCAGAAGAGTTCACCTCATCGTTGTATAATATTGACTTGGAATCATTGGATTGGATTGAAATGGTCAGGGAAATTCTGGAGCATGTCTCGAGTCGAACTCCAGGTTCATTTGTTGAGGTGAAACGATCCTCTCTCGCATTCCACTATCGTAATTCCGATCCAGATTATGGCGAGTGGATTGTCAATGAACTCAAACTTCATTTAGAAATGGCTTTCAACTCTCTTCCATTAGAAATTATAAAGGGAAGAAATAAGGTATTAGAAATTCGACCTCAATCGGTGAGCAAGGGTGCCTGTGCCAGAAAGTTGATTGAGAGAGGAGATTATGGATTCATTTTCTGTGCTGGAGATGATAACACAGATGAAGCCATGTTTGAAGAGGTGGAAAGACACTCTCGCAAATACCTCACACCCATGTCACCCACACCTTCCACTCCCACATTGGGAACACCATCTCAAGTAACAAGTGGAAGTGAATCTCCACCGTGGAGTCCAAAACCGGCACAAGGTCATTCACCTCAATCACCTCATCGTTACTCTCCTGCTGTGGGTGGATTTTCAAGAAATACCTCCAATATTACACCAAAAAGCGTCTTTTCTGTTTTTGTTGGTAATGATAAGATTGTCACTAAGGCAAGGTATCATGTAGGAAGTGTGGATCATCTCATGAAACTGCTCGAGGGATTGCCTGTCCCCTCAAATCATTAGAAGGTCAATTTCAATGGAAAGTGATTGTTGTTATAATGCTCACGAGAATGCGTTCTTATTTATAAATTATTTTCTTGCACTGTTGTGAATTTCCATTGTTGAGTCTTTGACTTGTCTTTGATTTGAAGTGTTTGATCGTGTGAATTTTCTGCCGAGTCATTGAAAGCCGAAAGATTATTGTTGGAACCTGAAACTGTCATGTTGAGCGTAGAAAGGAAAGGTGAGCTTGATCGTACATTTTCACAATCCAACACCAAATTTAAGTTACCAACATTTGCAATACAAACACTGTCAGAGGTGAGAGGATTCACAGGTTGGAATACCAGCCATTTCTGTGTGGCGTTGTCGGTCTCTCGTTTCTCACTCACAACAATATCGGCTCCGTCCTCAAGTGATACACACTCCAAAACATAGTCACAATTGGTCGCCAACTCGATAAATCCTGACTCTCTGAATATGAATCTTTGATCTTGTGAAAGTAAGAATGCTTTTTCACTTGTAATCATAACAGAGTGGTCATTAAGATTTGCCTGTACAACAAATCCATTTGTACAATTTCGGATATAAACCTGTGAATTGTATGGGACTAAATTTTGTGACCCAGTATTTTTGGTTTTCTTTGTTGTGGGTGGTGGCGTGGCTGGCTCGTTCTTCTTGCTTCTTCGCTTAATCTTGTAAAAGGCCATATAACAAATGTACAAATTTTGATGCCAAGTTTTAGAGTCAATATGTCTCAAATTTACAGAGAAACCATATGGAGAAATGGTCTTAATGCTAAGAGCATGAATGTCGTTGCTCGGCATTTGAGGGTCACATCTTGGAGTGCAAATAACCATGCGAGGCATTCCAAAATCATTTCCTGGAATGGACGGAATGTCTTGTTGCATAAATCTAATTTCTCGATCTACATAGTCGTCACTAGAAATATTTTGTCCGACTGGTAATACTCCTGCTTTGATGATGCAATCTTTTCCAAATGGGTTTGGAATTTGTGGTGAATTGTAAAAAACAGTCCAATTCAATTTGACAGATTGTGACCATGGCTTGGCCATATTTTCAAATCCAACTCTTCTAATAACTGCCACAAATCGATTAGGATAAATTTCTCGTACACTTGCAACAAAAGTGTCGTCACTGTTGCCATCAGAAGCATGTGGTGTCACAATAACCACTGGTGGATGACTTGGAATTAATGTTGGAGTGTGGGAGTACATTAAATTGGTCGAAACAGTAGGGCTTTCAGGAACTGAAACATTTGTTTGTTGTTGCATTTGTTGATCATAGGAATGTAAATCTCCCGAAGAAACATAAACTGAATGTGACCGTGTTCCGTGGCTTGTTGAAGATGCATTTGCTGTACTATTCCAATTTGTAGGTATGGGTGGTAAATTAATTGTTACAGACATTAAATAAACCATATTATTGGGGTTGTTTTGCGGTGTCATGGAACTTCCTCCCGTTGGAGCTGTTGTTGCCACCATAATAGTATCCGATTGAGAACCAATTTGAGGAGAGTTACCTTGTGAATGTCCTGTAGTTGGAATTCCAACCACTGTTCTTCCACTGCAAAATGAAGGAAGAGTGGCAAACCATTGCAGTTTAATATTACTGACCCAAGGTTTTAAATTCATCTTCTTTGAAACTCTCCTCACAACACAACAAAATCCAGTAGTAGTTGTGGATAGAATGGTTACTGCATAAGTATTTGAAACTTCTTTCACAACTGCTTGAGAAGATGATGTGATCGTAAGTTGATCGATCAAAACCTGTCCATGAACAATGGGTTGTTTTGCAAAAGGTCTCGGAAAGATTACATTGACATAGGCACATGATTTACCGTTCTTATTATCTCCGATAGAGGCTACACCTGACTGAGTGATTACTGCAGTACTTGTGGATGAATTTGTGGTGGTGTTCATACTTCCATTATTAAACGATGATGATGGTGAGGAGCCTATTAAATTACTTCCACTGCCCGATAAATTAGCGGTTATGGAAGAGAGAAAGGTCGGAGGTTGTGATGATGAAAAACTTTTATGTCTATGAGACGATGTAACCATACTAATACTTTTTCGTGAGGACATATTGAGTTCAATGTCTGTGTGATATAAATATATAATACTAATAATAATATTGATATTATTCAATATTAAAGAAAGAATTTCCACAATAAAGTTGTTAATAACCGAGAATGCGAGAGTAATTCAACAAAAATGAATAATTGAAAATCCCAATAAAATTAACACTTCAAGACTCCGATTGTAATTGATAGCCAATAACGATTTAAAGAGAAATATATTTAAAGAACAATTCGTATGTTGCCTGTTGATAAGAATAATATTTTTTTGGTTTTGCTTCTGTTTCGTTTCGGAACACGAATCCATGAAATCCATAAAATTCAATTCACTCACTCCATCCACTTATTGGCATTCAATAGAAAAGAATCGTACGATGAAGAAGTTTCAGGCAGTATAAAATAGATAAGAACCATCAACGAGTAAGTTCGTTATTGTGGAAGGCTTCAATCGACATCCAAAAATCAAAAAAAGTGGACTTGTCCCATATCATCACAAAAAAATAGCAGATCCAAACGACTGCTGTGTTTCTTCCACTCAACCCCGTCATCACCATCATCGTATTTCTCCGAGAGTATTTTCATTTATTTGTCTTATTTTCTTCTGTTTCATTCACACTCCAAATTGATCAATTTTACAAAACAATGCCTTCAAAGCCACCCACACCAAAGAAATCTCCGAATCTTGTAAATCAATTCTCTGTTCTACCTCTTGATGATCTCTCTCCAAGACAATCTCCAAATCTTTCTTCATCATCGGAAGACAGTCTAGTTTCGATAAATCCAAAGGATTCACTAGAAAAACAATTGATTTCATTTCAACTAGTTTTGAAATTACCAAAAAATCTCTTACAGGAACAATGGAACTTTATGAGTGATTCGTTTAAGAAAGTATTAACACAACAATTATCACACATTGGGCAAGTGAAAAAAGAAAATTTGGAGTATTATCATGGTTTGTTGAGGATGATCAAATATTTGGCAATGGGAGAAAAAGTAGCTGCTAAATTGGGAAATGACACTGATGTGATACCTTTAATATTGTATTTGGCTTTTGATGCTAATACAGTGAATGATAAATTTATAGATGAGGAAATTGTGAGATTAGGTAAATTTTTACTATTTTTGATACACGTATACTAAATTTGAATTATACAATCATACAGCATGTACTGCCATTGATGCATTGACTGAAAATGTGGATGGAAATAGAATCATTGTTAGGGAGAGTCGAGGGTTAAAGAACTTTTTAGACTTGGTTCGAGTCAGTACACCCAACAATAACATTTGCTATCATGTGAGCAATGAATGTAAACGAAATGCACTTTTGGTTTTGGAGAAATTCTGTTTAAATGGTATGTATTCTCGGTCGAAAAGTTGATCACAAAAGAGAGAACTTGCATCAGACTCTAACAAATCGCTTTTTCCTATCATTAATGGAACTCAAATTGTGATTGAGCAAATGAATCATGCCTTCAACACCATCATGAGTACCTCCAAAAAACAAATCGACAACACCTTGTATGGTGTTATTGAGGCCTGTATTCGTGTGTTGAATGCTCTGAGTTTGAATCATGCCAAGAATGAAGAAGACATTGCCATGAAAGTTCCAATTGCTCCAATTATTTTGACCATTTTGAATTCTCTTAATGTTTCCTTGAAATCAAAAGAAGAAAAAGGTCCAATGGCATACTCTGATGGATATCAAACGTTACGAGTTCAAGATACAGACTTTACAGAATTGTTGTCACAAATTCTTTCGTTATTATTAATTGTTTCTAAAAGAGGTAGGTCTGATGATGATTCGAATTTCACATTTTGAATTCAATATTTAAAAATAGAGCAACGAAAGAACGAATTGCTTAATGTCAATGCATCACTGAAAGAGGAAAATCATTTTATTGAGTTTTTGCTGTCACTGGTATGCTATCTTTTTTCATCAGCATCTAGTGGAACCAATCATACCAGACGCTCTTTCAGCAAGTAAGTATTTTGCTACCTTTGCACTATGACAATATAATAACGTCATTGAACTCGTTCTCTTTACAACATTCATAGTGCTTTGTATATACTCGCAAATTTAAGTTCATTGGAAAAAGTTAGAAAAGAGCTCATTGCACAAAAAGATGGAAAAAGTCACAGCACAAAATATTTCAATTATTATTTGGATAAAAAGTCGTTGAATGGAGCTCAGGTCATTCTCAGACAATTTTCTCATTTTGGAACTTTAAAAACTACTCAACCTATTGAAGAATCTGAAGAGAGAAGTTTTGCCGAGAATGTTCTCAATTTACTCACCAAGATGGGAGAATTCAACTTTAAGGATCTTTTCATGTTTGTTGGAATGAAAGTCACTGAAGTACTCACGCATCTCTCTACCATTATTTCACACACCAATGATGTTTTGATCCTTCAACATACTCTCAATCTCATTCGAATGTACATGTCAAAAGAAGTAAGATACGTGGTGGGTGAAAAAATTACAGAAGACCACTCAAAATTAGCGTCTGGATGTATTGTATCCATTCTTGGAAAACAGTACACGAACACCAGTAGTGTGTCCTTTACATCCACTCTTTATTTGAACTCCTCTTATCATTCGGATGTTGAAGTTGCGAAACTGCAATTCCTGTGCCTTACTACTTTCAATTCTTTGGATATGCAAGATCCTTCTATTTGGAAATTGTAAGTACCATTCATCTATTCTCGGTTTCAAAATTTAACGAAATATTTTCCTCTTCTTGGAATAGATTGATTGAAAAAGCTCAAAAAACAATTCCTGTTCATCGACTTTGCGATTGGATTCTTCAAACAGATGTCACTGAAGAAACTCAAAGAATTTTGTTGGCCATTCTCGAAGTTTTGAATCAAATGGTTCAGTGCGAACAAGTTGATGTAAGAGAAATTTCCATGTTGGGCATCACTTCAAAACTCATCAAAATGTTGGAACATGAAACCTTTCAAGATATTGTTATATACCTTATTTACAATTTGTGTTTTGACTCGTTCTTTAAACAAATGTTTGTCAATGGTGGTGGTGTCAAACACTTATTCAAGCTCATCAAAACAAAAGACGATTTATTCTTAAATGATATATTGAAAATTTTCACAACACTATCGAGAAAGGACCGATTCACAAAACATGTTATTGCAGAATCTGGATGTTTAGATTATATTGTGAGTCGACTTCTCAACGACAAGAACCTCTCAGCCAAAAATGTCAAGAATGGCATTGCTTTAATTCAAAGCTTGGCTGAAGTTCCTCAATTAGCCACATTTATTGCATCGTTTGATTTGATACCAGTCCTAGTGAATATTTTAACAACATCAGATTCTTGTGCAATTTTAGAACAAGCTACAAAGATCATATTGGCAATCGTGACAGTTCCGACCTATGAGCAAGGTCGAAAACGAGTAGTGGAGCTGAGTAAGGAACTCATCAATTTGCTGCACTGTGAACTTTCAGAAGTTCAAGAAAATTGTATTAATATTTTCTCAAATGTATCTTTAGCACATCCTCACTATCAAACCGTGTTGAGAAATAATGGTCTAGTGACTGAGCTGCAATCACTGGTAGAGGGAGATGATCAATATCTCAGCCTAGTCGCCCAACTCGCTCTCAACACTTTTTCAGTTGAAAAACAAACATCTCAAAACAACAAGGACGAAAACATCAAGAATCAATTATTATCCGTTTCAAAATCAGAAAGTGACTTTAAAGCTAAAAAAGATTACATTGAGAAACAATATGTGAAAAAATATGAAAATGAAATCAAGACAGAATCTATCATGTGGAATAGTTTGACACACATGAGCAAAGATGCCTATGAAAAATTGACCATTGAAATGGATTGGAATTTCTTTGATAGTTTGAAATCGGACGCAGAAAAGCGAAGAGCGTTCCACTTGCTCAAAGACAATTCTTGGAGAAATTTGAGAGAATCCATTTCACTTTTCTGCAATCAATCACCTATTCACAACAGAACCTTCCTAACTTGTATCAATGTCGTGGTAGTGGCATTTGACACCTCGTCTTATCTTGCTTTTAAAGCTGCATTAGGAAAATTTGATGCTGATTTTTCAGAAATTCCCATGTCTGCACGTAACAATCGAAAAACATGTGCAACCATGAAAAATATGAACAAGATTGAAAATATTATTGAACTCTATCAGAAAAAGTATCACAATCTCGGAGTATTACTCTACAATATTGGTTATGATGACATGAATACTATGAGCCAGGAAGATTTTGTGAATAGTCTCAATCGCTTACTCGAAGACAGCATTAAGAAAGTGCGAGAAGTGACACCCAAGCCCCTATTACTCTCCATGGAAAACGACAGTTCTAAAATTCGATCTTTGGATTTGAAACGATCTCTAGTACGAACGAATATTTCAACACTCTTCCCATCCACAGCACCATTCAACACAAATTCTTCAACAACAACAACCAAAACAACAACATTGGCATCCATCAGTAATACTAGTACTGTAGCTACTAACACTTCTCATAGCAGTGATGCATCATTGAATGATCTTGGATTGTATCCAGTGACATTTAGTAAGGAAGAATTGCAACTCTCTAAGAATCCAATGCTTTCACTCAAAGAAAATGCTCTTCAGGCATATAAGGGACAAATCTACTTGCAAGGAGTTATTTCACTCTTGAAAACAAAATATTTCACACAATATACCCATGAAGATGAGGAAGCATTTGAGACATGTTTTGAAAAAGTGAAAACCATTCAAGAGAGTCTCATTAAAGGATGGAAGGTGATCAAGTACAATAAGAGAGGACTCAAACAAGAACGTTTCATTCTCCTCACAGATAAGAATTATTATACCGCGAAGTTTGACTACTCCAAGAAACAAGTAGATGTCAAACATACCAAAGCGCATCATCTCTCGAGTCTTCATCTCATTGACATTGGATGCTTTGACAAATCCACTGCACCATGTCTCGCCATTTACACCTCAGAGGCCTCCACCACCACCAGTAAGAAGAAATCCTCTTCCAACTCGAAACTCACCAAAAAGAGTTCCCTCCTCAAATCAGGTTCTGAGGTGCATTTCGATGAAGTGCATACAGCAGTGAACAGTGATTCTCATGCCATGATGATGCCAAGACCCTCGACAGCCGATTGTTATTGCAACATCTTTTGTGGTCTGGATGGAACGAGTTCCTCATTCTCCACCACGACACCTGCTGGCTCTGCAACGAGTATGTCTTCTTCATCGGATCTGGACAATGCGAGTGGTCCAACAACTGCAACTACCACCAATAGCCCAACTGCTCCTTCCAACGATGAAACCAACAAGTTTATCTTGGAAGAAATTGCATGGTCTATCTATGCGGCTGCATGTTGTCTCAAAGCTCAGAAACTTCCACAACCCTATTTCGGGTTGAAAATTGAAAAACCAAAGCAAGGACTTACCAGCTTTATTTATAACAAGTTGAAGATTGGTAATTTGAAATAAACTCGAGGTGTGTTGTTGAAAAAAGGTTGTGGTGCATCCTGGTTAATTAAATTACCTCAGTGATTTCGCTAAAAATCTCAATGAGGTAATTCAATTAGCTCGGTTTTTGGGATTGGATCGGAATGGCAGTTGTAATCACGTTGTAACAAAAAATCTCAAACTGAAATATGTTTTCGTTCTTATTTCCATGTTTGCATGTTATGCTTGGCGAATAAAATCTTTTGCAAACTTGGCCACAACAAAACATGAGGTGAGACAAGTGACATTTCAATTTTGTATAGCCGAATTAAACCCAAATTAAAAAAACATTGATAGGATTGTGGGTTTCAATCCAGAATATATCAAAAATTTTTCAAAGAAAATAAGCACTCGCACAGTCCTAGAGATTGTTGTTGCGTTTGATGGATATAACTATAAACATCAAATCGAACCAATTCTCAGAGAGATTGCGGATTTTGACCATTCTACACAAACATGGACATTTACACCACTCAAACTAAAGAGTAGTCCATCATCAACTAGTTCGTCATCATTGAATACTCTCAAACATTCGCTAGTGTTTCTGACCAAGCAGAAGGTTCAAACATCAAGAAACTACGAAACAATCCAGGGAGCGATGATGAAGAAGAGCTTGATGATTTTGATGACGAAGAAAACAATGATGACTATGAGAATGGTGTTGATGAAGAGCAAGAAGAAACTGATGAAAACGACAACAGTGATGATGAGAATGATGAAGAGGTGCCACCCGATGAAGTAGAAGAAATTGATGAAGACAACAACATTGCAATGATGAATTATGTTATTTCAAATCCTTCCTATCAATCGTCCAAGCATCATCAACCCTTTATGATACAAATGATGATAATGATGGACTTCAATTGAAGAAATGGTTTTGTGACATTCAAATTATAACCAAGCAGTACTACTCATCCCAACAAAATCTTCTCAGTCGCAATTCAGTGTCACAACAACACATTTTCATGAAACGCCTTATTTGTCCGCTTCCCAAAATTATTCCCTTGAGAACTGATTTTTCAAAAGTACAATGGCTGCTGCACGCTCCAGTATACGGAGTCTCGCCATTGATATCCATAACGAGATATATTCACCCCGTACTTAAGATTTGTGAAAATGACAATTCAATTTATGACCTCGGGTATGACAAGTTAACTAAATACAAATACAACGTTACCAAAATATTAGCAGGATGTAATGAAAATATATTACAACATATTTGGACATTCGACAAGAGCACTGTTACTGATGGCCCGATGAAAGATTTAACCATTATCAATATCGATGACAATCAAGTGAGTCATTGCGGAAGTGGCGTCATTTTTGTTGCTTGTACCGACGTCATTTTAGTGCTGAATGGTTTTGATGGGAATTTATTGAAAATAATTCGTGGCTTTCATTGCTTAGAGTGTATTGAATTGGATGGAAATAGAAATCTGTTGGTTTGTGAATATTACAAGAACCACATACTCGTAACCAGAGATGGATATGTAATAATGAAGATTAGACGAATGATTGACCATTATGTTCAATTTCTTCTCCATGATCGCTCATCCAATAATATGATATTGATTTATAGCAACAAACTCTATCCTAAATTTGATGTAATTCAAATACTTAGCCCAAATGGAAGAGTTGTTTTGGAAAGAAAAATTGATTTTTGTGCTTCGGTGCTTGTTTAAATATACGTACTGGTGAACTACTATTTACCAATCCTCATTTGGAGTTGAATCGTGAAGGATTGGATTTTAATTTTATTAGGACAATAGAAGTCTTTCAATAATGAATTCTTTGTTTATTATTCAAGACAATATCATGCTATAATCAAGACCTACTTCTATTTGCATTTTGCTCAAAGTATTACAATGTTTCGAAAGAGTAAACAATAAAATTCGTTTGTTAATTAAAGGAAGGACTAATGGGTTTATGATCTCTCCAAACACCCTGTCACATTTGAAACCCAATCAACCCATCAGACCTCAATGTAAACGATATAGGACTACTCAACTTTGCAGATGCCATGAATATTGTGTGTGATAAACATGTCAACTATAACCAAAGATTAGACGACATTGACTCTTAGCTATCCGAACTCATGTTCAAAATTAACCCCTCCAAATCTAAAGGAGTATAATTACTCCCAAAATTAAGGGCACTGCAAAACCGCTCGACCATCATCTTCGAGTACTCGGACATTATCCTTGGACAGACACAATCGTCAGAAATGATGTCAAGGACAAGATTAACAAACTACAATTATCTCTGCGATACCTCCCTCTAAGAAGATTGGAACCCCTTAATCTGAAAAAGATTATCCATGCAAAAGCAATCTCTTTATTCACCCACCTCTCCAAATCTAACTTTATCTCAATGAAACAACTCGAGACCATCAACACACGAGTATACGAACAGCAATCAAGAGAAGATTGTTCGCAGACGTTAAAACTCCTTCCAGCTTTTTCCACATACCTATCATCAACTCTGGTCTCGACATTCCCTTAATTACAGAATTTGTGGAATACCTGAACATCCGAACTGCGGTTCTTATGGCCAACAATCCCAACAGTCTCATCAGAAAAGCGTATCGTTATGGAATGAACCACTCTAACGATGCTGATAACAACATCTTCCAACACTGGAAATCCATCCTTAAAGAATACAATGTGAACGTCAAGCTTAATAAGGAAAAGTTCACGCTCGATCGATTAGAAGGTACCAATTTTGAAATCCATACTGATGGCTCCCGCCAGGATGGTAAAACAGGAATGGGAATCAACATTCACAACCTTTCAGCCCCCAACACACCACATTCTAACTCTCTTAGAATTCATAATGAATATTCCAACAATGTTGCTGAAATAGCTTCAATCAAAACAAACTGTTAGAATTCTTCCAAAGAATGCAAAAGCACAAGTCTCTACCGACAGTCAAGTCACCATCCATGTTCTCAAAAAGAATTAAAATGGGATGTTCCACCTCCTGTACAGAGAATTTAATAAGATCATAAGGAAAAGAAATCTGCAAATCACCTTTAAAAAGGTAAAAGGATACCTTGACCTTGAAAATATCAAGGTGGACAATTTAGCAAAACAGAGCCTCTCGCAAGATGCAATCTTTGACATCAAACAATTATTTGGTCAGCAACGCTTGTTAACCCACTCTGGAATTATCATTTTCAACCAAAGACAGCTGACCAAGAATCAACATATTCAAAGGATGAAAATCAAAATGCAAAACAATCCAAACCAGCATGATCACTTGAATATTAAATCATGCAACATCAATTATCTGAAAAAGAATATCTCGCCCAACTACAAATATGCAGTGTGGAGAAATATGACAGACTTTCACATCCGACACTTCACAGGTTCCTATCTCCACCACTACATACACGAATGCCCTAGATTAGATTCTGCAAGATTCTTCTGTGAACAGAAGATCTCGTCTCTCATTAACCAACCGTGTACCACCATTCCTCCACGGATACTCGCTTCGACACCCATCAACCCATGTTATATATTCATCACTCTGGCTTCATCCCTCCTTGTAGTGATGCATTTAGGCACATAAAAGAGTTATCTTCCAAATGGTCAGAAATCCAAGTCCTCGTTGCCCTTTTCGTTGGCAAATGCCACAAACTCTACTATCTTGGCAAGAATGCAAATTGACCACACTATTGTGTTGTCAATTAGAATCCCAGCTGGATGTACTTCAATAAATTTTTTTAATTTGGATTTAATTCGGCTCTACAAAATTAAAATGTCACTTGGTGGTGTTTATGTGGTCTCACCTCTCGTGTTTTGTTGTGGCCATGTTTGCAAAAGATTGAATTCACCAATGTTGTGGACAAACTTGAGGGCCTAGATAAAACCTGAACCTGATGAGTGTCTGTCTCGTGGCTTACTGTACATGTGTTTTGAACATTCGACCTTTACTCAATTAATGAATATTCCACTGAGGGCAGGAGATCATTTTGTGGATTTTGTAGTTGCATCTTCTCATGTCTTTAGGTTGACAAATGCTTCAAAGATTATTGCAAGTACATGAAGGCATAATTTTTCACACGACTCGTTTGTTGGCTTTTCCACACAAATGAATCATATACAGATCTTATTCAACAATCTTGAGCTTCTTTTCTTCAAAGGGAATACCAGTCGTAATACAGATTTGTTGGGTGATTCATTTGACGTCCTGTACTGAGAAGTGTAAACCACATGCATTTCCTTAAGATTGAGAGTATGAGACCAAGTGTTTTCAATTACCCAACTGACTTTTTTAATCATATATTTCAGGGGTCCGAGTGTGGAATTTAATAATGAATTCTGAATGAAAGTTAAAATGAGAGCCCATCAAACCTGCAGCAGCAGCGAACAGCCAAAAGAATAGGGCTTACGAAGTATTTACAAGGGGACCTAAGCTTGACGTTTATATTGTTAAGGATTACCATAATTTTTTCAATGCTCTTTTGTTCCTGAGCTATAAGGTTCAGAACGTTTGGTTTACACATTGTCACATATCAATCAGTAATGAAAGTGTAGACTTGATCAATAATGTATTCACAAAAATTAACTGTCAATTGGTTTTGAGTAAAAACAGAAACACGTAAATTGAAGTCATTGATAGGGAGTTCTTGGAGGTGATATCCTAAGTGAGCTGGAGTAAGCTCTTCTTCTTCTTATAGGCATCTTTGCTTATGTATGTCAAACTATTCCACGTGATAGGTTCTGTCTTGATTTCATTTTCATATTTTTTAGCATTTTGTTTCTCAATGTAATCTTTTTTAGCTTTAAAGTCACTAATGGTAAAGAGATGCATGAGTACTTCAGTGACTTTCATTCCAACAAACGTGGGAAAATCCTTAAAGTTGAATTCTCCCATCTTGGTGAGTAAATTGAGAACATTCTCGGCAAAACTTCTCTTTTCAGATTCTTCAATAGGTCGAGTAGTTTTTAAAGTTCCAAAATGAGAAAATTGTCTGAGAATGACCTGAGCTCCATTCAACGACTTTTTATCCAAAAAATAATTGAAATATTTTGTGCATGTTGGCTCAAAGCTCAGAAACTTCCACAACCCTATTTCGGGTTGAAAATTGAAAAATCAAAGCAAGGACTTACCAGCTTTATTTATAACAAGTTGAAGATTGGTAATTTGAAATAAACTCGAGGTGTGTTGTTGAAAAAAGGTTGTGGTGCATGGTGCTACAAGTGTATGAAACCAAGCTGATAGAACAAAATGATTCATACGTTGTGACTGAGTATCGTACAAAAACGGGTATTTACACACTTCAACGAGAGGTTTGAGCCTTTGTTGGTTGTGGTACTGTACCGAGGAGGTGAACACGGTCGTATTCAGGAAGGTAACAAACGAACTTGCTCAAGCATACATTGAGAATTTCCATTCTATTCCTCAACCTGTACGGAAGCCCTGGAAGGAAACCTGAACATTTCCAAAGATTGTCTTAATGTTGAAGTTCGTGGATCTCTCTGTCGTTTCTCAATTTCCATTTCGGCGAAGGCAATGGGATCCCAATCTACTGGTTGTACTCGAATATTGGAAGAGGATATTGAATGCGGTATTTGCGCTTTATGGGAGTTTGAGGAAACATTCGATTGATTCGACCCGGTTTCACTTTCCTTAGAAGACCTTATTTTACCAGTCGAAGATGATGTGTTCTTGTTAGTGCTTACGGAATTTGTTGAGGTCACCCGAATCTGGATCGTTGTTGAATTTTGCTGCGAGGACTCCATTTCTGTAAGGTATCCACCCGTACTATGGCTTGAATTGTAGCCACCATTCGACAGTGTATTGTTGTTGTTGTGGTTATGATGGTGAGTGTTGTTGTTATGATGATGGTCGGAGGCAATGTTTGTCGTTTTGTATAAATTATATTTGGAATTGGGGGAAGTATTTGAGGAATCTGTCGAATATTCCAGGGAGCTACATATTGAGCCCATCTTTTTCGGCTTAGGGTTAATATTAGGGATTTTGTGGTGATGAGGATGAGAGAATTCGTAATGGTTTTTGTTGCTAATTCTCTTCTATTCAGTGAATGGGATTCAACAAGGAAGAAGAGAGAAACCTTAATTCATAGGTCTTTATGCTTTTGAAAGAGTATTGATGATGAGGGTAGGAATGGGCAATTCCACTCAAGCTGTTGAGAGAGCTGCTCTTCCCAGAGAAGGAATATCGACCTATGAGAGCGCCAATAATTCAAAGAGATAAAACACACCAGGTTGTTCGTGTTGGTTGTTTTTTTGTCTGAACACAAAAGGAGAGTGGCGAAAATGGTGGCGCACCACTTCTGAATTCAGAGGATCGCTCAAGGACTATAATTGTAAACACCGTTGTGTGTCGAACATCGCTGGGCAAACCCCGAACCAACAGAGCCATTTTCAACCACTTGGACATGTCTACATGGTAATTCCATAGGATAGATTATTCAAAGAGGATGTGAATTGTTGTCTGCAGGTTGTCAATCTTGTATGAAGTTGTTGCTGGTCACCGTGATACGGCTTTGAAACAAAACAGAAAAAAAGAATGGTTCCGCGATTTGATTTTTCATGCGATGGTCGATGAGAAGCAATCACGAATGACACAAATCGCTCGGCAATAAATCTTTCCGAACTCGCAGCCACATTGAGCATCTTCATCAAAACCTCGAGTTCTTTCGGTCTTGTGTTTCTCCAACGCCACCACTTGCACACCCACAAGCGAGAGTTTCATGTTGTGTTGGGTTTTGTCTCTTTACGAGAGAGAGGCTCATTTTATCTCATCACCAACAGCGCCTTCCGAAATTGAAAGGATGACAACTCACGCATTGAAGGAGAAGCAACACACAGAAGGAACGAACAATTCCCAGGGTGATTGAAAGGGTGAGTAGATCGATCATACACAAAAAATTATTCTTTCTTCCGTGTTTTATCATTGAAAGCAATCTATTGACCAAGAAGAAGCTAAGCAATCTCCTGCATCAACAAGCTTTTGATACGACGATATATAATAATTGAGAGAATGAATCATGATGGTGTAGCAACAGGAAACAATAACACAACTTTCCCTTCTTCCTCTCTGAAACATCAGCAACAACAAGAACAACAAGATAATGGATCGGAGATTCATCATTACCAGCAAGGAGGGCAAACAACACCAATGAATGGAGGCTCTATTCCTACCCTAGCTGCTGCTGCTCCAACAACAATCATTGACCCGACCGAAAGCAGCAATGAACATCCACCCAATGGTCATTCTGCTTCTTCGACAGCACCATCATCATCATCATCATCAACAATCCTCACGAGCAACAGCAAGCTTTACTCTCGGCCTTCACTTGAAAAGAGTGATTGCGAATTTCTCCTCGAATTGGAGACTTGTCTTTCCAACAAACTTTGTGGTATTGATTCTTCTGCAAAAGACTTTCTCACGGATCACGAGGAAATGTTAATCTTGCAAAACGAATCATCATGCTCATTCTCTTCTCCTCTGGAAGAGGTATACGATAGGTTGGGTGATTTTTGTAACGAGTCACTCCAAAAGTATGCACAGAATGAGAGTGCCAAAACCACATCATCCACTTCAGTCACTTCTCTCATCCTGCCAGAAGGAGGGGAAATTGTCACTACCACCACAACAACAACAGCCAACGACAACACCAGAACTCTTGAACACGCATCCAAGTATCTCGAAGAATTGTTCGATGTGATCTGTGAGGACTATCTTTCAACCCAAATTTATGAAGAATTAATTCCCACTAACAGTGATGACAATACAAAGAAAAGGAAAAACCTGGGGAAGGAGTTAAGGTTCATGTACAAAAAAATAGTGCCTTGTCAAGGGATCCAAACAAGCCAACACTTTTGGTTTCTACCTCACTTAGAAAAGCAAAGAGAAAGAAGCCATCAAAAGAAGAGAAAGGAAGTTTTGAAGTTGCTTTTCAAATACATCTGAACAATTTCAATGCTCAATATGTAGTAGAGGAGTTTCAGAATTGTATGAGTTCACATTATCACTTTTCTGACAATAATTCTCTTTTGAAAAATAAGAAAAATTGGATTGACTCATTCGTGATGAATAGGACAGAGTTTAGCAAGCACTTGGAAGATTTCTCGAGAGCAGTCATTCATCAGAGATTGAATGAAACACTTACAGCAAAGTCCTCTCACACATCTAAAGGCGTCACTTCGACTACCACGAGCGGCATCAGTAGTGTCAGTGGAAGGCATTCACGAATGCTGCAACTGGCTCGAGAGGCTTCTGAAAAAATCAACGACAAACATCACAGAGAGAGAAGCGACCGAGAATCCTCCTTGGACGAGCTTTCTTCGGTACTGTCAGACCGATTGGGAGCTTTTTGGAGAAAGCATGAAAAGGAAATTTCAGAAAAGAGAAAACGAAAGAAGAAAGAAGAAGAAGAAAAAGAAGAAGCCTTAAGACAACAAAGAAAATTGAATTTCTTGCTCTCTCAAACAGAGCTCTATTCACATTTCATGTCAAGAAAGGTGTCATCCCTTGATCAAAGTGGCTCTGCTTCTGCATCATCAGAAAATGGTGAGCCATCTTCAAGAGAAAGAGCCTTATTGGCTTCTGAAAAACAGAAACAATACACAATGGACTTTGACGCTGAAACTGGAAAGTATAGAACTCAAATGGAGGAAGATAAAATTGAAACTAGTGAAGATATTCAAGAAGAACCAAATATTTTCAATGGTACTCTTAAGAAATACCAATTGAAGGGTATGAAATGGCTAGTCTCTCTTTATGAACAGGGTATCAATGGTATTCTTGCAGAGTAAGTAGATTGGGTTAATATTGCCAATGATACGACGAAATTATTTACAATTTCTAAATAACCAAAATTCACAAACTAATTCACGCACTTTTCAAACGTCACTCATAGTGAAATGGGTCTAGGTAAAACAATTCAAACAATTGCATTCATTGCATATTTAGCTGAGAAGAAGGGAATTTGGGGCCCTACACTCATTATTACTCCTTCATCAACGCTTCACAATTGGCAACAAGAATTCGAAAAGTTTTGCCCCACACTGCGAGTTCTTCCTTATTGGGGAGCTCTCAAAGAAAGAAAATTATTGAGAAAATATTGGACCAATCCTGACAAGCTTTATCAAAAAGATTCTCCCTTCCATGTCGTTATTTCAAGTTATGGCCTTATTTTGGAAGATGAAAAGTATTTCAAAAAAGTGAAATGGCAATATTTGATACTCGATGAAGCTCATGCTATCAAATCAAGCAAGAGTTTGAGATGGAAGACTTTATTAGGAATGAAGTGTAGAAACAGAATGCTCCTCACAGGTACTCCAATCCAAAACAACATGAAAGAGCTGTGGGCTCTTCTCCACTTTATTATGCCTTCTATCTTTGATTCTCATGAGGAATTTAATGATTGGTTCTCCAAAGATATTGAGTCACATGCCTCTAAGGAACAGGATGCTAAACTGAATGAACAACAACTTGCTCGCTTACACATGATTTTGAAACCGTTCATGTTGAGAAGAGTGAAAAAGGATGTTGAAAGCGAGATGGCACCCAAAACAGAATTGGTTCTACATTGCGGCTTTAGCTCTTTGCAAGCAGACATGTACAAGTACATTAAGGATGAGTTCAAAAAGAACTCTGCCAAAGAAAAGAAAAAGAAGAAAGCAACCAGCACTGCTGATTCTGTGGCAAACAAATCAGCACTCATGAATATTGTGATGCAACTTAAAAAAGCATGCAACCACATTCATTTATTTAAGGAGTTTAGACAAGATGTATTCACTCCTGTTACTTTTTCAGAACACCCAGGACATGTGAAACATGTTCCTGGAAAGATTTATGACGAGTATGAAAATCTGAAAAACCCTATTTCTTTAACACTACCAAAGATAATTTTTAGAGAAATAATGCCAGAAGGATCTCTTGACGAAGAAGCAAAAAGGTTATCTATATTCAAGAGATTTAATTTTTCTCAAGATCCTTCCTATCTTCTTCATACGTATGGAACTTTGTTTTATTATTTGAAAGATTCTTTGTGGAGATTGTACAAGTTACGAAACTTACGTAACCGACTCGTTGAATTTAGAAATAGAAAGAAGACATTCCAATTCTTAATGGACGAGCTTGTTTCTGAACAATTAACTGCTCATATTCAAAGATGTGACATGCTTATCCACAACATTGAAACTCTCTTCCGAAATAATGGAACAGTTATTAGAAAGGTGAAATGTTGTTTTGAGACTGTTATTGCACCACCTATTGAAATACGTTGCTCTGATATTAGTAGCACTTACCATTTGGAGCCTGTAAAAACTACACGATTTATTGACAAGAAATTCTTGCACAGAAATCAATTTGTGTACAACACCTTTGGATCATCCAATGTTGTGTTACCAAACGTGAGCAAGTTGATTGCAGATTCTGGAAAGATGCGAGTATTGGATCAGTTATTGTTCAGGTTAAAGGTAGAAGGACACCGAGTGCTCATCTTTTGTCAAATGACTAAAATGATCGATCTTCTTGAGGAATATATGATTAAGAGAAGATATAGCTATTTTAGATTGGATGGTTCTACAGGAGTGGCAGAGAGAAGAGACATGGTTGATGCATTCCAGAATCAACGAGTGGATCCTGTATTTGTGTTTTTGCTTTCGACCAAAGCAGGTGGATTAGGAATTACTTTGACAGCTGCAGATACAGTTATATTTTATGATAGTGACTGGAACCCTACTCTTGATGCTCAAGCTATGGATCGTGTCCATCGTATTGGTCAAACTAAACCTGTCACCATTTACAGATTAATTACAAAGAATTCAGTTGAGGAACGCATTTTAACAATAGCTAAACAAAAGAGCACTATTCAAGAAACAGTTTATAAGGGTCAATTCAAAATGCAAGACAAAGAGGAAGAGGTTGACAGTTCCGAACTGGATGAAGATGATGACGCAGCAGTTGAATCTGCTGTAGTCGTCGACGATGCAGGTGATTTGGATGAAAAGGAAATCATGTCCCTTATTTTGGATTAATCCACCAAAAGTTCACATTTCACAACAAGTAAAAAAATTGTCAATCACCACCAAATCATGAACGGAACTGTGAGCGATCGTCGAACTAAAATCTTGTGTACCTTAGGTCCCAGTTGCTGTGATCTCGAAACCATCAAGGAGATGATGAAAGCAGGCATGAACGCTGCTCGTTTGAATTTCTCTCATGGCGATCACGAGATACACGCACAGACCATTCAAACCGTACGAAGAGCAGCTCGTGAATTGAACATTCCGTTTGCCATTGTTCAGGATTTGCAAGGTGAGTGGGATCAATGATGATGGTAATGATGATCGATCGTGTGTGTGTATACATTTTAATTTGTAAAATCTTGTGATCCTTGTTGATGACACCATAATATTAGGTCCAAAAATTAGGTAAGTACCATTTGATCCAATTGAATTGTTGAATCATTCAACTCGAAATATCCATCATGAATGTTGATCCATCAATGCCTTTTGGTTTTTGTTAAACTTTCAAGAATTGGACGTCTTGCAAAACCCTTCATCATTCAAGAAGGAGAAGAAATCATCATCACCACTGACAAGAATGTGGTTCCCACTGGCGAAGATAATGAAGAAAGACCTCGAAAAGTCTCCACTTCGTATCCACATCTCGCCAAAGACTGTCGTGTCGGTTCTCGTCTCATGATCGACGATGGTTATTTGGAAGTGGTGGTCTTGGAAAAAAATTCTGAAGAGACTGAATTGAAATGTCGAGTCGTGACAGGTGGTCTATTGAATCAAAAGAAAGGAATTAATTTGGCCGATGAAGGAGCCACCATTTCAGCTCCTGCATTGACTGAGAAGGATATTGATGATCTCGAATTTGGAATGAAGTGTGGTGAAATTGATTATGTGTGTTTGAGTTTTGTTCGATCCTCTCAAGATATTGTCGATGCGAGACAATTAATGATGAAATTTGCAGGAAAAACAGTTCCAATTATTGCAAAAATTGAGAGAATTGAAGCCATTCGAAATATTGATAGTATTATTAAGGAATGTGATGGAATTATGGTTGCAAGAGGAGATTTGATGATTGAAACTCGTTTTGATGAATTGCCCATTCTTCAAAAAGATTTAATTGAGAGATCATCAAAGGCTGGAAAAGTGGACATTACAGCAACTCAAATGTTGCAAAGTATGGTGGATAACAAAATTCCAACAAGAGCTGAAGTGACAGATGTGGCAAATTCAATTTTTGATGGCACTGATGTGACCATGTTAAGGTAAGATTTTTTCTGTTTTCACACACTTGAATTCAATGATATGAAATGATTGAAAATAATAATGATTGTGTGTACTGAAAATATTGATTGATGGATATATGTGTTGGTACTGAATATACTTTAAATTTCATTCTTCAAGTAATGAAACGGCTACAGGAAAACATCCTATCTTGGCTGTTAAAACCATGAGCACCATTGTGAGAACTGCTGATTTGAATTGTGAACGATTTGGAAGATTATCAGCACATGAAGATGAATTTGATAGTCTTGCTGCGGATTCTATTGATATTGCAACATGGTAGGTGATAGATGACAATTATTATTTTCGAGTGTCTCTTATACTGTGACATGAATCGCCACGTCTCTCACTGCTGTGACATATCACGTCTCTGCCAAATTTAAATGACATGCTCCATGACCGAATCCTACGCTTTTGATCACTTGTTCAGCATGGCTGCTGCTGCCATTTCTAAAAAGCACACTTCTCTTAAAGTGGTGTGTTGCATTACTCACTCTGGTCGAAGTGCATTCAATATTTCACAATTCAGACCGAGTGTTCCAATTATTGCACTCACCGATCAAGTTGGGACCTACAATCGTTTGTGTTTAGGTTGGGGAATTACTCCTGTCTTGATTAAGAAACCAGTTTCAGAATATACGAGTAGTGAGGAATTGTGTTCACAGTATTTGAAAGAAAATGGTTTTGCAAAGAGCGGAGATTTGATTGTCATGGTATTGGGTGCAGAAACTATTAATCATCAAGCTCATACTGTACGATTGGTGAAATTGACTCAATAAATCTTAAATCTCCGTATCACAGGATGACCGTTTGAATTAAAGGGCCATTTAATGTTCCAGTGCAGGCTAGAATTGTTTTACAACAACAACACAAAAAAATGTTTCCTAACGATCGACCCACTTTTCCACAACCACCACTACAACTAGGCTCATCATCGGAGAGAAATGATTCATCGATACGTTCCAATCTTCCTAGAGAAGCCTCCATCAAAGTTCGGAAAACGGAATACAAGCAAGTGTTGAAAGCAAGAGCCATGGAGAATTTAAAAGACAAGAGAAAGCTTTTGAGAGATCAAGTTCGGGATCCATTTGCTGCTCATCATCAAGTCGGATCATCATCATCTTTAGAATTTAATCCCTATGATGAATATATGAATGCTTGTCGGTTGGAATTGGAACGATTGATGGCAGAGGATAAAGGCTCAATGACTGATGATGAATATAATGAATTATTGTGGGAATTACAACAAGAAATTGAAAATGAATTTCAAGAAGAAGATGAAGAACAATTACGTGAATATGAAGAACAACAACGACTTGAAGCACAAGATATGGATGAATTAATTAATTTCTATGAAAAGTCCGTATTTCTATGCCCTGTGTGTAAGAAAAATAACCTTCACGAAACCAAACACTCGCTTTGTTGCAAGTGTGGTCTTCGTATTCCAACATCTGTTCGTTTTTATTTATTATTCTTCAATTATATTTATAATAATAATTATTTATCATTCTTCAATCATGATGCGACAATCTTTGTTGAAATTGGTAAATTTATTTTGAAATTAATGCAATTACAGCTCAATGGATTGTCAGTAAAATTCGTGAGTCAACAAGTAATTGACTGCTATGGAGAGCACAAGTTGCAGTGTAATAAGGGTATGTTTTGTGACTCAAGCTCAGTATTTTGGAGAATTTTGAATTGATGTGTGAATCACAATGTGGTGATAATCTTGACGTTTTGTTTCATTTCAGAACCAAAAGTGTTAGCTGAACAACGAGCAGGTATGACCTTTGTGACACTACGATGTGACCATTGTGACTTTTTAGAAATCATTGTTTAATGCCAATACCACCACTCTTCATCAGAAATGAACGAACGTGTATTCAATCCAATTTCCTTCCCATCAGCCACGATTAAAAATCCGACTTCAAAAAAATAGTGAATCCTGGAGTTCAATTTTTTCACACACACACAGACTCCTCACTCTCATCACATAGACACCTGCTCGTCCAGCAGTGGTAATACCATCATCATCATCACAAAGAAATACTCATATGACAGATCACTTACTACCATCTCTCGAACAAATTCAATTGGTTCTCCTCAACACTTTCAATCCGAACCGAAATCATCAATTAGAAGCAGAAAAATTCCTCAATGATTGGAAGCACGTCAAGGGATTCCCAAGTTCCATCTTCCAATTAATTTTACAATCACAACAAGACTCCTCCTCACAACAATCTCTATACATTCAACAGGCTGGAGTTATCTTTTTGAAGAATCTTGTTGTGAAACATTATGATACATCTCGGAGAAGTTTAATTGATGAATTTGATGATGATGATGACACGACTCATGTAGATTCAAACTCTCTTCCTCCCATTCCTGAAATGCATCCCGAAGACAAACAATTTTTGAGAGAAAACATTTTACGAGCCATGATTCACTCTCCACACATTGTTCAGAATCAATTGTGTCTCATTTATCAAGTCATTGTCTATTCGGATTATCCTGTGAATTGGATAAATCTCGTGGATGAGATTATTAACATGCTGAGGTCGAATGGAGCGAATTGTGTCTATGCGGCGCTATTGGCATTGCATGGATTATTGAAACGATACAAGAATGCTCCTGGAGAACATTATCGAATTGCTGTGAATGACATTGTGGAAAGAACTTTTGATATTATCACTGGATTATTCCAATATTTGTTGAGTCAAAATACGGATGAATTTGCAACCATGAGAACATTGATTACAAAAATTGTTTGGTGTTCATTTTCTCTTGGAACTCCTCAATACTATTATTTGGAAGTGAAGGAAGGAAAATTTGATCGATTTAACAAATTGTTGGAAATGTTTTTGGAATGTTACAAAATTGAAGTTCCACCACACAACATTGAAAATGTTGACAATCCACATTGGAAGGTTAAGAAATGGGTTGGTCATTTTGCGTATCGACTTCTCATTACATCTTCTACACTCGAAACAAGGGAAGTTTCTCAAGAAGAAATTGTTATTGCTCAATACTTTGTTTCACAGTGGTCTGTGAAATTCTTGGAATTGTTCTTGCAATTGATTCAATTCAATCTTAAGGGAGCTTTTGTGCCATATCGTATTGTGACTCTTTCATTTAGATATTTAGATGCTTGTGTGGCAAATCCTGATGTTTACAAGCATGCAGTTGCACCAAGACTACAATCATTGATTGTTGATTATATTTTCCCTTATTTGACTTTTACTTCACAAGATGCAGAATTGTGGGAATATGATCCTCAAGAGTGGCTTCGAATTGGTTATGACTTGGTTGAAGATTTGTGGAATACCAGAATGAATGCAATGGGTACTTTGTCAAGTTTGTTAAAAGTCCGCCGAAAAGACGCATTTCCCATCTATCTTCAATATGTGACACAAGTGTTGACCAGCTACGCCGATAACACCAATGTCAATCCACAACTCAAAGATGGTATTTTGTATTCCATTGGTAACATGAAACAACTCTTCTTGAAAAATAACATGACCAAAGATAAGCTTGAAGAACTCCTCCTCATGTTTGTCTTCCCAGAATTCAAGAATGAGAAATGCCCATATTTAAGAGCAAGAGCTTGTTGGATGCTTGGATGTTTTGCAGATGCACCTTTCAAAAATCCAGAAACTCCTGTTCAAGGAATGCAACTCATTCTTGATTGTCTTAAAGACAAGCAAATTCCAGTTCGAGTTCAAGCAGGTTTAGGATTGAGTTGGCTTTTGCGTTTGGAATCTGCTACCCAATATGTGAGACCAATTCTTCCACAATTATTAGATGTCTATATGAATATTATGAGTGAAATGGAACACTCCACTGTGGTACAAAGTATTGAACTGCTTGTTGATGCATTTGCTGAAGAAATGGAACCTTATGCTGTGAATATTTGTGGTCGAATGGCTGCTGCTTTTATTCGACTTTTTGAAGAAGATGACAATGATTTGGATAATGCTGAAGAAGATATTCTCATGGATAATTGTATTCACACCATCATGACATTGTTGGAATCTTTTAGAAACAAGCCAAGAGTTTATAGACAATTAGAGCCAGTGTTATTGCCACTCATTGTCAAGATTTTGGAATCTCCTGATGAAGGTTATGACTTTGTAGAACCTGCTATGGACATGTTGGTCTATGTCACTTATCATTGTGATGGATCTATTTCAGAAAATTGTTGGAATTTGTTACCAACGATTTACAATGCATTTAGTGGATGGGCTTATGATTTTATTGGATATCTTGTTGCTCCATTGGATAATTATATTTCAATGGATACTCAAAAGTTTTTATCAAATCCAGATCATGTCACAATGGTCTATCATTTGTGTGCTAAACATCTGGCCAAAGGTGCGGAGACTGTTGAAAAAGAAGCACAAGGAGCTTGCAAGATTCTGTCATGCATGCTTCAACATTGCAGAGGAGCTATTGATAATGAAATTCCAAAATATTTAGAAATGGTCATGTGTCAAATTGATTTGGCAGAGACACCTGCATTTATTGTTTTATTGTTGGAAGTGTTTGCTGATGCTATTATTTATAATATGGAACTTGCACTCAGTTATGTGGAATCCAAGCAATTTACTTTGAAATTATTTACCAAATGGTTCCAAAATTTACCTAATTTCAAACGGATTTATGATAAGAAGGTTGCAGTTCTTGCATTTTCAAATATCATTGGATATGCCAATTTTGCTAATTTACCAAAACCACTCCAAGATAATATTTCACACATTGTGAGTGCTTGTGTCAAGCTACTTTTGGAAATTAATGAATTGAAACAAAAAGTTGGAGAACAAAATCAAAACGGTGCAGAGGAAAATGCTTATTATGATGATTATGACTCTGAAGAAGATGAATATAATGATGGAAATGGTCAAACATCCAAACAATTGAGTCTCTCTGTAGATGCATTGAAACAAGATACTAATTTAAAGAGAATTGTAGAAGCTCTTACAAACTCGGCCTATGATGCTCAAGCCGATGATGAAATTGATGAAATGGAAGTCTTTGATTCTCCTATTGACAAGTATGACGAAAAAGTTTATTTTGGAAAGGCCATGATTGTCTTCTCATCAAATTCTGCCTCTCTGTTCCAGAAAGTCATTTCGCAATCGAGCGAAGAAGATAAGAATGCATTACAACAACTCATGAACCATGCAGCTCAGCAATCAATGTAATCAGCACATCTCATTACAACAATCTCAAATAAAAGGAGTCATCTAAGCCTGGTTCTGTTAAGCCCAAATAAGCATCATGATAACAATAGTGCATTCTCGCTCGATATAATTCATCACTATAACCATTGCATTTAAGAGCTTCCATCTCAAGTTCTTGCTGCAAACTGTAATGTGTGTATAATAATGCCAATCCATTATTCTTCACTGCTTCAAACATGACTTCCTTGTCGGATTGAAATTCAAAAAGAGTCTTTCTATAGGATACAACAATGGGAATATAATTGAGTTTGACAGCCTGCAAAATAAATTCTTTGTCAAGTGCAATTTGTTTTGGAATATAGATGAGAAGGCCACATTTTCCGCATTTCACAACTTCTAACAAGAATTGTTTGTCATTCAAAAGGTCTTGAGATATGGAATACAATGAAACACCATGTCTGATCGCTTCTAATACCATTTCTTGGTCACCTTTCATCATTTCACTTGCGTACTCGAGAGAATAACCATATCGTCTTACAGCTGTCAATACCACTTCCTTATCATTCTTCAATTCATCAGAGGCATATTGAAGAGAAGATCCATGTTGATTGATAGCATTTAACACAAGTTCTTTGTCTCTCTTCAACACAGAAGAGACATATTTCAATGCATAGCCACACTGTTGAACAGCCATCAATGCAATTTCTCGATCATTCTTCAAATCATCAGATGAAAATTCAAGTGACAAACCATCATTTTTGACTGCATTCAAAACAATTTCTCGATCATTCTTGAGTTCATCACTTGCAAATTCAAGTGTCCTCCCATATTCTCCAACAAGTTTCATCATGATTTCTTTTTGTGAAAAATCAAAAGAGGTGCAATGAGAAAATTCTGGAAATATTAATTTCAAAATTTTCAACATGAATCCAGAATCTGACAATAATTGTTTTAGAACGAATTGAAGAGCTTTCTTATTTTGTTTGATTGCTTCCAATACAATTTCCTTATCTGATTCTAAAAAACTATAAATACAGCGTAGAGCTTCCTTCTTATTTTGTTTGATTGCTTCTAACAAAATTTCCTTGTCTAATTTCAAATGTTCGTCAGCCCAATTTAATGCTGTTGCATTTTGTTTGACAGCTAAAACAATTTCTCTGTCTTTTGTAAAATTAAAAGGTGCGAATTGTAGAGCCAATCCATTCTGTTGAACCATCTTCAAAGCAAATTCCTTGGAGACTTTGATGGTGAATCAAATTTCCAAGCCTCTGGGAACTGCTTGACAGCTGTCAAAATCAACTCCTTGTCATTCCAAATGTTGTCGGAAAACGAAATTCATCTCCTTTGTGTTGAAGCACTTCCAACACAAACTCTCGATCTTGTTTTAATTGTTTTGTGAATTCATGTTGACAATTTTCAAATTAATATTTCCAGAATTTTCTCATTTGAACTCTTTTGATTATTCACAAAAAGAAATTGTATTTAGACTTGTTCACGAATATGGATGGTTACTTACATTGGTAAGTGATGAACTCAAGAATGATCGAGATGTTGTTTTGAATGCAGTCAGAAATCATGGATTCTCACTTGAATATGCTTCAAGTGATTTGAAGAATGATCGAGAAATTGCATTAGCTGCTGTTAAACAGAATGCCAACGCATTGAAATTTGTTTCTGATGAATTGAAGGGAGACAAACAAGTGGTTTTAAATGCTGTCAATCAATTTGGATATATTCTTGAATGGGCATCTGATGGATTGAAGAATGATAAAGAAGTCGTATTAAATAATAAATAAATAATAAAATGGCAATGCTCTTCGATTTGCATCAGATGTAATGAAACACGACAGAGAAATTGTATTGGCAGCTGTACAAGAGAATGGTTTTGCTCTCGAGTATGTAGGTGAAAGGATGAGAAATGACAAAGAGATTGTTTTAGAAGCTGTCAAACGAACATCTCAGCCATTAGAATGTGCATCTCAAGATCTTTTGAATGACAAAGAATTCTTATTAGAAGTTGTGAGATGTGGAAATAATGGAATTCTCAACTATTTGCCAAATGATATTGCTTTTGACAAAGAATTTGTATTACAAGCAATCAAACTCAACAGTTTTTGTATTGGATCGTATGGATTTGCCCATTTTATACCACCCTCATTGGCTCATATTGTATCAGATAAGGAACGCGACATGTTAGAAGTAGTGAAGAATAAGCTCTTAAGTGCAATGGTTATGTTTTGGAATATAGTGATGAATTATATCGAGCGAGAATGCACTATTGTTATCATGATGCTTATTTGAGAAATTAACAAGTTGTCTCAAATCGGACGGGATGATATAGCACTAGTCATTCATTTTCATAAACTCATCACAGTAAATTGTGTTTCTATCATTGTTCTTGGTTGTCTGAATGAATGATCTATCGTGCTTTCTATGACGATGTGATTTTGGACGGAGCAGAAAATCATTGTGAAAAAATTTTATTGAAAGTTTGATTGAACTAAAGTGGGATCGTCATTGTGAAAAAATGCAATTCGAGGAAACAAAAGATGGCAAAACCAAACAAACGTCGCTCAATTTTACCAATATTCGATCGTTGGTGAGAGAAGTGATTTTCCGAATGTTGAATGCATCGTCAACTACGACCATGTCACAGCGTCCATCTTCCGAACAAATACGATCATCCTCCATTTCGGTGGAACCACTATCATCATCATCATCATTAACCATTTCCAATCAAGACAAAGCTCTCATTGAGCAATTATTTGGTCCCTCAAAAATTCAAAACAACACTCACCGACTACAATTGAAGAAAGAACAATTGGAAAAAGAATTAGAAAAGAATCGACACGAATTGCTGGCGAAAGGTAAAAGAAATTTTAATATTGTGGAGTTGCATCGGAAACATGGTGGTTCGAGTGTTGTGTTTTCTGGGCCAAGAAATCAACATCCCATTCTGATGAATGGTGGAAGTATTGAAATGCACACCTTGTCTGCTTGTTCAGTGTCGTCTTGTTCGGAACTCCAACACGATCTGTTGGCAGCATGCTGTACAATTAATATTGCAAGTAATTCTCTGGGATTTGGTAAAAACATTGTATTTGAAGTAATTGTTAGAATTTTGACATTTCTCATTAGCCTTCTGTTACACTCTCGATAAACACTTAGCCTCAATGTCACACAGCTAACTCGAGTGTTTGGCAAGAACAAGAACAATACCTCTGAGAAAGTGAAAGCGTTCAAATTTTCTCAATTTCCACATATACCTCTCACTTAAAAATAGATGACAAGGAAGAATGACCCTCCTCTGTCGTTGAATTGATTGCAAGATGATGATTCAGTTCAGAGGGTTTTTCAACAAAAGAACAAGGACAACTGGCCAGCAAATGCATCAAGAAATTGAATCAAATGAAAATGTGTGGTGTAACACACAAGAATAAAAATTGAATTGAAAAAATGGCACAATACCTCACCACAAAAGCTGAGAATGTTCTCAAGCGAACAGCTGGTATGTTGTTGAATCATCATCACGAGCATTCTTTAGTACTGACAATGATTAATTATTACTATTATTATTTGCACTGTAAAATGGAATGATTTATTGTTATTATTATTATTATTTTAATCATCATCGTATCCTTTTGGCACACTACCATCAACCTGGTGTTTTATGTATTGATGTATACCTTCACTATATCACGTACACAATAGATTACATTCAATCCGACCAATTAAACATGGCCTTCTTGGAGCTGGGTACAATTGTATCTAAATTTGGTCGTCAAATTAAAACCTGGCACGAAATTTATGAAGATGTTGCCAAACGATTCGTCAAAGTCGCTGTAGAGTTGAGAAAGGGACCGGAAATCAAGTCCATTCTCTCGTCCTACCGAAATTTGTGTCAAGCCAGTGAACTTAAATCATTTGCCAATGTTGTTCTCTTATATTTGGACCAAGCAGAGAAGCGTGCCCAAAAGGCAATTGAAAAGTCAAAGAGTAAATCGCTTGCTCTTGATTTGGAGAATGAAATCCCAGAAAACGTTTTACTTAGCGATGTTTCCGGTGAAGATTTGAAAGATAGAACAGACCGCGAATTTGTTACTCCATGGATGAGATTCTTATGGGAAACCTACAGAGTCGTCTTGGAGCTTTTGAAGACTACAAAGGAACCACAACTTGAGGCCGTTTATCACGTAAGTAATAACTTTCCGCTTGATGTTAAATTAACTTTCGAATTATCTCTTTTTAGGAAACTTGTAAAAGAGCATTTGAATTCTGTCTTAAATACGAGAGAAAGAATGAATTCAAGAGACTTTCAGACCTTTTACGTACTCACGTGAAGGGAATTGACTTGTCATCCTATGAAAGCATTGAACACTATCTTTCTGCTCGCTTTTTCCAATTAACAGTTGCCATTAAACTTGATTTGTGGCAAGATGCATTCAAGAGCATTGAAGATATTTACTATTTGATTTCAACCTCAAAAGATGTTATTATTCCTGCTGAACAACTTTTGAATTATTATGAGCAATTAACCAAAATCTTCTGGAACTCGAAACACTATATCCTTCATGCCTATGCTCAATACAAGGCTTTTGGTATTAACAGAATTATTGCTGACCCAGCCAAGTTGCAAGAATCAGCCACTAATTTATTACTTTCCACTCTCACTACTCCATCCAACGATCAGCTAGAGACCGTTCCGACAGACTTTGTTTCTGTGAGAAATGAAAGAAGATTGGTCACTCTTTTGGGATTGAGTGCACCTCCAAGCAAACAACTTCTTGTTTCAGAACTGGCAGCTAAGAATGTTACACAATTGATATATCCTGAATTGAAGGATCTCTACAAAATCTTTGAGGTTGATTTCAATCCACTCAAGATGTGTGAAAGAATGAAGCCAATCTTAGAATTTGTTAAGTCTAGAGAGGACTTGGCAGTCTACAATGAACCACTCAAGCAAATGACTGTTACAAAGTTGTTGGAACAACTCTCCAAGGCCTTCCAAACCATCAAGATTGAAACCGTTGCAAAGCTTGCAGACTTTGTGAGCCTTATTCAACTTGAAAAGATTCTTGTTCACAACGCTAGTTTAGGCAAAATACAAGCAAACATTGATCATGGCAAGGGTGTATTAATCTTTGGTAAATCTCCAAAATCGTTTGATGCCAGTGACATTCAAAAACAAATCTCTGCATTTGGAAAGAGAATTCATGATGTTGTGGACTTGATCCATCCTGAAAGAAAGAAAGAGAAGGAAGAGAGACGAAAGAAGCTCATTTCTGAAATTTCTAAGAAGATTTCTCCAGAAATTGAACAAATTTCCTTCAGAAATGACTTTATTCGAATGAAGAAGTTATGGTACGAGCAAGAGCAAAAGAGAGCTTTGGAAAAGGCTGAAGAAAGAAAGATTGAGTTAGTCAGATTGGCAGAATTAGAAGAAGAAAGATTGGCTCAACTCGAGGCTAAGAACAGAGAAGAAGAAAAGAAGAGAAGAGAAAAGAAGCTTGCTGAAGAAAAGAGAAAGAAGGAAATTATTGATCAAATCACAAACAACAATGTTAAAGCACAACAAGATTTGCTCAAGATTGCTAACAAGTCTTTGAAAAAGAAGATTACTTCATTGCTTGAATTGGATATTGATGACATTATTGAGTTGAAGAGAGGTGAAATTCAACGCGAAAAGAAGGAAAAGGAGAAGAAGCTTTTCGAAAAGGCAAAGGCATTGGATTACTTGGAAATCACTCGTCGTGAGATTGAACTGCCACTCTTCGATGAATACAATAAGAAACAACAAGCTTTGAACAAGGAAGCATTCGAAAATTATTTGAACAAACAAAATCAAGATCTCCAAAAGGAATTGACTGAAATGAAACAAAAGAAGCAAGAATTTAGCAAATACTTTGCTGATCAAAAGACATTCTTGGATAAGTTTGTATTGAAGGCAAGAAGAGAAGAGTATGAGAAATTAAAACAAGAACAAGACGAAAGAAAGAGAGTAAAGAAGGAACAATGGGAAGCCAAACGCAAAGCCCTCTTGGAAGAAAGAGAGAGAAAGAGAAAGGAAGAAGAAGAGAAGAGAAAGAGAGAAGAAGAAGAAAGAGAGAAGAAGAGAAAGGAGGAAGAGGAACAAAGAAAGAAGAGAGAAGAAGAAAGGGAAAGAGAGCGTAAGAAGAGAGAAGAACAAGAAGAAATTCAGCGTAAAAAGGAGGAAGAGTACTACAGAAAACAAAAAGAAAAAGAAATGGAACTTGATAAAAAGCTCAAGGAGCAACAACCTCAAACACCCCAACCAACAAAGGGTAGATGGGACAACTTGGATACTGAAACCTCGTCTCCATTTGGAAAGTCAGACAAACGTGGTGGATTTGGCAGTGGCGGTTTTGGAGGTTTTGGTGGAGGTGGTAGAGGTGGCCGTGGTGGATTTGGTGGTAGCAGCAGAGGAGGTGATAGCGGTCGTGATAGTGGTCGTGATGGTGGTCGTGGTAGTTCAAGTGGAGGTGACGATGCCTTTTCAGCATTCTCTTCTTCTAAGGGAGGCCGTGGAGGCAGAGGTGGCTCAAGACAATAAGCACATTCTCTCTAATTGTGAAAAATCTTCATCTGCAACACTCTCAGGTCAACGCTCATCAACTATATTTATTTAAAATGTTTAAGTATTTATTATTTCTCAATCCAGAAATCTGAAATTATTTCAAGTTTTGGATGTGCATTGGTGACGAGCAGCATCTTATTGCAGTATCGAGTGGGTGAAGTGTTAATCGAGAACTGTGTTGCCTTAATGTACTTGAGGTTCGTGCAATTCTTTACTTCTCCACTCATCACTGTTCTTGTCGAATCACAACATAGCCATTCCAAGTTTGGACACTTATTTATATTAAAATGTCTCAAATATCTGTTGTGACTGTTTTTTGACAGATCAATTCGCCGCAACTCTGAACATTTGCTAATGGTTAAAGATGAAATTTTAGAGTTGTCCAAAATTTGATCCAATACCTTCTCAGTAATTCGTTTGCATTTGTAAAGATGCAGCTTTAGATCCTTACACGAAATATTAACTTCTCTAAGTTTCTTCATATTCTTCACTGTCAAGTCAATGTTCTCCAACTCGATCGTGAGGGATCGCAACTGTTTAAATCCTTTCAATTCTAAACTCTGAATGGTCGCCTCAGATGAAGAATACAAACGAAGATGTTGCAGAGAAGGGAGATTTGCCTCCTCTCGAATCATAGACATCCATGTCAATGTTGAGCCATCCTCGAGTTCATCATGAATCATTTCTGCAACATCCAACTCAATCTCTTTCAAGTGACTCAACATGAATTTCGTAATGGGACACAATCTATTGTGTCCCATTGGTAAATTCACATGAATTAAATTTGGACAATGATACAAAAACACAGACGGTATGACCACATGGCTGCTCGATAAGAGTAGAACACTCATGCTTTGTAAATATTCTAAATTTGTCAACTTTAACACATGTTGCATCGAATCCAATTTCATGTGATGGTCAACTTGTCCATTAAATATGAAATGTTTGTTCATAACTCGCAATGACACTGTTTCAAGTCGAGGTGTCCATAAATGTATCAAATTCGTTGATTTGGGAAGTATATTTGGATTCCACCATGTTGTGGAAGAAGTGCTAGCAGTCGTGTGAAATGTAAAATGCACAAGATTTGGAAAGAGTTTCGAATGTGTGAAAAGAGTCTTAAAAGAATCATCAGATCGATGAATCGTGATGGAAAGAGTGGCCAAATGTTCAAAGAAAGACTCTTGTTGTTTCAATTCATCCCTAACATTTGATATTTCCTTTTTTGGTAAAATTAAATTGGAGGTATAAATCTCTTCTTGTTTCTTTACACTACTCGTCTTCTCCTCTCCAAGTACGAGTTCATGAAATGAAAAAGATCGCATCACCAAAGATAAATGTCGTAAGTGTGGAAGTGATTGCGGACTAATCTTGATACTTTCCAATTGTGGAGACTCCACACAAATTTCTTGCAAGTTTTTACACTTTTCCATTAATTGGTCAAAGACGTGACAAGTCATTTCTCGTACACCATACGCACAGTGCCAACTTTGAATGGCAAATGCATGTTTTGAAATGATATCCAGTAATCGTTGTGAATGGAGACCATTTGAGGAGGAAATGTCTTTTTCAATCGATTTTGAAACTAGTTTTGATGGAAGAGGATATGAATTCTTTCTTTTTTTAGAGCGTGGTTGTTGTTCAAGAATTTGTTGAATGGTGACTAATTCATGATGCTCGTCGGAATCAAATGTTAAAGTGGGTGATAAATAATCCAATGTAATATTCTTGAATATTAATCCAGATAATATTCCTTCCTCAATGACTCGATGAAAACACCGATTGATAAATCTCAAACAAACAAAATAATCGGTGGTGGTCATAAATTGTAAAATCATGGCAACAATTTCATCGATATCAAAGATTTTAAAATTTAAAGCTAAGAATTCTTTTCGTTTGGTGGGTCTATGAGGTTGTTGTTTGCGCTTTAGTGTATTCTGAGTTTTTGGTGATCGTGGATTTAAACTTTGTGTTTGAAACATTGGATCCTCTTTGGATTCCGAACAAGGATGCTTTCGTTTCATTTTTTTTTGCTGTTTTCAATATTTCGCTTGAAGCAATTCTTTGAAATGTATAAACCATCTGAACGATGCATGATTAAAACCTTTTCAATAATAATAGTATGTATTCGTCGTCACATTTTGTTATTCAAATGTTATTTTTCCATAAATTAGGTAGAAGGAATAAAACTTAATTTATTCTTTGGTTGGGCCATCTTTGTATTCATAAATTGGTTTTGAAAAGGTTGTGTTTTTAGCAAAAGAATGGCCGAGAGGATTGACAGGACTATGGTACACGTGAGCGGAAAGTTTTTCCTTGATGGGATTTTTGTTCAGAACGCTTTCCGAGTAGATGGTGACAGGCATATCATGGACGTAGGTGAAAGAGGGATTGGCTTTGGTATGTGCAAAAGAGAGATCCAAAGAGGGAGTGGGATTGTTTTCTTTTCCTAAATCGACCTTATAGGTGGTCTTGAATGTTTCTTCAGTCATGACTTTTTTAAATGTTTCGTTTTTCATTGCTTCCAAAGCATCAAGTTCAGCAGCTGCCTGGGCTAATAATTTTGCTTCTTCTAATTTCTTTCTTCGACCAACGGAGTCTTCTTCTCTTGGTATTTGTGGAGCTTCAAATTTCTTTGTTTTTAATGATTTTTGAAAATCGGAATCATCTCCCTTAATCAGGAGCGTGGTTGGAGGTAATTCTTTAGGTTTTGGTTGTTGCCAGTCTGCGAACACAGTCCTCAATTTTCCATCAATTCCAGTGGCAACAGTGGCCGAACATTTTGGTCGTTTAAAGGAAATGTCCTCTCCACTGGTGGAAAGATGAGGAGGACCCACTCTCTCCTTGCTCGGAACTTCTTCCTCAATTACTTGCTCCTCTTGCCAATTCCCGACCAACACTTTCTTCTTGCCGTTTCTATTGTATTGGCTTTCCTCCACCCATTCTCCATCCGCCTGACACACATCCAAATTTCGGTACGCTCGTTGTCTTCGATCGACCAAGCGACAGGGTTGATCCATGTATTGTTCTTTGATTTTCATTTTGGACATTTTTTTGAAGTCTAAATTTACGGTCAGTTGTGGCGGCAATTTCTTGTTCCATCAATTACACGAAATGAGAAAGCATCACCTCACAAAAAAAAATTCATATTTTTATCATCTTCTTCATCACAAGCGCCGACCAATGCAAGAACAACAACAACACTCCTATGTCGATACAAAAGTAGATCAAATCTTTACAGGAGGCAGTTTTGTACGAGTTCACTTCAAAAATTGTGCTTTCTGTTCTCCGACAAGCTTGGTCGAATGTTTCCTCGAAAATTGTTCCATCTGTGATGGTTTTAATGTGAATTGCAAATTTGTGGCATGTGTTTTATCCAATTTGAATTTAAATCACTGCACTCTTGAAAGATGTTCAGTTTCCACGGTGACTTGTTCATCCTCGCAACTCAAAGATTGCACCACTTCTGGAGGATTGTTTGCATCGTCTGATTTTTCTGGTTGCACCATGGTCCATTCGATTTGTTCGTTTTGTTATATGGATCCACATACGAGAGCGAATATTGCATGCACGATTAATGATCCTCGTTTTGAACCAATGTCTCTTGCCATCAAGGCAAATTCTGATGAGCATTCCGAAACAAACAATCAAGAACCCAGATTAAAGTGAGAAATCAATGATATATTGTAATTTGCATTAATAATTCTGAAATTCCTCTCTTCATCTCTTTAATTATTCATCAAGTTGAAAAATCTCTCCAAAGCCAAGGTGAGTATGTCAATCTTTTGAGCAGAAAAACACACACGAACCCAACCTGTCAAATTTGTCATATAGAATTGAGCAGGAGAAATATTCACAAGTGCATGATCAATAACGTCAAGCCACACCTGATACTCTTCTTCCTGTGTGAGTGCATCTTGGAGAGAAGGAGTTTTCATGAGACCCTTTCTAAACACGTATTGTTTCATTAATCTTTCCACATTAAACCAAATGAAAAGACCTGCTCTCGTTTCAACATATTCAATATTTCGTTCTCTTAAAAAGTTAGAAACAAATGCATATTGTTCGCCAAGTGTTTTTCGATTCAATTCGAGGAATTGAGAGAGTTTGTCTTGACTCCTCAAGAAGTGTGTCATTAAATGCTGAGAGTGCGAAGAAACTCCAGTGAAGTAACTGCACGTGTCGAACACTTTTTTAAGCTGCTCATTCATGGTGAAGAGAATTCCCATTCTAAAACCATTCAAACACAAATCTTTTGAAAAGGAATACACAATATGAACATAATTCTTATCATCTTCTCGCATGACATTTGTTGCACTCACAAACGGCTCACCCTCTCCAAAGACAGATAAGGCATACAATTCATCGCTGATAAAGTGAATGGACTTTTCCTTACAAAAATCAATCAAGTCTCTTATAATATTTTCATTAAACATGTCTCCAGTTGGATTATTGGGGTTGCACAATAGGAATGCTCTAATGTTTTTTGTTTTACTTTCCTTCTCAAACACTTCTCGGACCATCTCAACAGTCAATTCAAAAGACTTGGTTTCAGGATTGTAGGGCATTTGAATGGGAAGCACATGACCATGAAATCTCTTGTTGAAATCGTTTTGAAAACCCAAGTAGAGAGGAGCTGGAATCATGATATACTCGCCTGGGTCACACAATGAGGCGCCCAACATTTCTAACACATCGCCTGCACCATTGCAAACAAAATAATTATTGATATTGAAAAATTCCTTCTCGAAAGGGTCATCTTGCTTCTCCGAATGGATTCCTCTCTTGAAAATATACTTTTTGAAAAGTCTATTCACCAATTCAATTCTAAATTCATTAGCTCCGCAAAAGTTGGTATAGTTTAAGTTCGAAGGCTCCAGAGGATGTTGAATTGCAATTTCATGAAATGTCTTGCAGAGCCATTCGGAAACAAGAACATTCTCAGCAACTGCTAAATTAATAATTCCATTTGGATTGTTTTCCTTGTGAAATACGTTGCTGAATACTTTCCCCATTGCTTGAACAAAAGCAGGACTCACAGAGAAATGTTCTGATCGTTTAGAGAGAGGTGGGGAAGACATTTTTTCTTTTTTAGAATGTGCGCCCTGGTTTGTCAATGTCTATTACAAGCAATCGTCGTCATGATGAAAGCAAATTTTGTTTTATTGAGGGTAAGAGTACAAAAACGAAATCAAAAATCTAGATGGACACAACAGTGAGAGCTCTAGTGAAATTATTGTTGTTTACGCAACTTGTATCTCATGCGTGTTGGAGGTGATGGACCAACAACCAATGATGTATAGGATGGATCTGGAATTTTACCAATATATTCCATATCAAAATATCTCAACAAAATACTAATAATACTCTTAACTTGCAAGAGAGCAAAGTTTTCTCCAATGCACTTGTGACGACCAGCACCAAATGGAACAGCACCATACTTGAACTTTTCATGTTCCTTGCGTTCAGTCAAACGTTCTGGATCAAAAACATCTGGATTAGTATAGGTATCAGTACATCTTCCAGCAACTGATGGAGAAACAACCAAAATGTTACCCTTTGGAATAATGTATTGTTCACATTCTCTTGGCTTTCTTGCCATTCTCATAATCATAATCAATGGTGGATACATTCTGAGGGCTTCTTTCATGCAAGCCTCAAGATAGTCCATCTTCATGACCTTATCATAATCCAACACCTTATCAGAACCCATAATTTCTTCTTGTTCCTTTCTGACCTTTTCCAAAACTTTCTTATTGGAAATGACATTCATCAAAGTCCAACTGCTAGTAATTGAAGAAGTATGTTGTCCGGCAAACAAACCAGCAATAAGAATACCAATTCTGTGAACGTCAGTCAATTCTTGACCATCCTTGTACTTTTGAGTAAGCAAGTGGTCAACAACATCCATCTTGGATTCATCCAATAAACGCTCTGGATGTTTTTTATGTTCTTCTCTTCTCTTGTCCAACAATTCTTGGAAGATTTCTCCGACAGCCTTTCTAGCCTTGTCACGTTTTGGAGCTGGAAGTGAAGGATAGAAGAAAGACAATGGACTAATACCATCATCAATATCGTGATAGAGTTTACCCAAATTCTTCTCACTCAAATATTGTCTGACCTCATCACCCAACAAACAACGAGAAGCAGTGAAGATAATCAAATCTGCCATCAACTCGGCAACATCAACAGTTCCTTCTGGACCCAATTCCTTTACCTTATGAGCAATTTCATCTTCAAAGATGTCGACAAAGACGCGGAAACGAGCAGTGGTAAGACCCGAGCTTACAAACTTGACTTGTTCCATCATACGTTCAGTAGAATCAGCATCATAAACGACACCGGTACCGAATACTGGTCTCATGAATCTGTAAACATCACGAAGAGAGAGTTCATTATCGGTGGCTTTGAAGAAGGTATCCAAAATCTTTGGATGGTTGAGGAAAGTCATTTCCTTTCCCAAAATTGTAGCAGTGAAAACATCTCCGTACTTCTTGCTATTATCAATGATGAATTGAACTGGGTTCTTGGCAAAACTGACAAAAGATCCAACATATGGAATCAAATTTGGTACTCGAGGTGGTTCATTCTTCTTTCCTTTCTGCGAGGAGAAGTACCGAATCACCAAGAAGACGACCAAAGCCGTGGACAAGGCTATCACAATGTCAAGAACTCCAATTTCGGAGGACATGATGAAAATTTATGAAGCGGTTTCGAGAATTTTTTTTTTCAAAGCAAAAGCCGAACGTTGAGTGCTGAATTTTTCACTTGCATGGAAGGTTCGCACATCGATGGTCCACAACCTCGCTCTCAGCTCGCGGTCAATGGAGAAGTGAAACAGGACTGGCCCTGTTGTTGTTTCAACGAGAGTGAACCTTTGAAAGTGCTTCTGAGTCCGAGATTGCAATCCCATCTTATCTTTCGAGATCATGCCAAAGTGAAATGAAAATTTGGGCGAGCTCTTTTAATTGGTGGGGAGAACAACAGGCAAATTCAAATTCATGAACAATTAATTTCAGGCAATAGCACATGGTTCACCCGCGTAGAGTTTGATCTCTATGTAAACAATTCGGTAAGCACTTTGAAAAATGTACAAATATGTTCAAAATCTTGTAATTGGCCTGCATTCCTCAAATACCACTCATACGAGAGATGATGGCGAGTACGGTTCGGACTTCGCTTAATCTAATTAATTGCTGCTATACTCGCGCAAACGGTAGCAGCTACTAGGAAACCACCATTACAGAATTCAGAAAGTGCTCACAATCAACAAAGGATGCTTGTGTATTTCCTCTTCTATTTACACACATTACGTTTTCACATATTTAAATTCAAATGAAATGTAATCCTTCAAAATTTCTACACCTCTAGAAATAAGGTTGGGTAATTGCCGTTGCTCTTCATGTGCAAAATTGGAGAGAACGTATTCGGCTAAATCTTGACCTGGTTGTTTGGCCATGTCTGGATTTTTCGTGGGAGCAATTCCAACTTTTAATCTGTGATACTTGTCTGTTCCTAATTTGGCCTCAATGTCTCGCAAACCATTATGACCGCCGTGAGCTCCTTTTGCTTTCAATTTAAAAGTCCCGAATGGTTGTGACACATCGTCTGTAATAACCAAAATTCGATTGGTGTCATCCAAATGGTTCAATTTCATTCCATTCATGTCGAAATACTTCTTGACAGGAATTCCACTCAAATTCATAAAAGAGAGAGGCTTCATACAATGTACATCAGTCTGAGGATATGCAATGATATTTTTCACACGTTCCTCAATTTGTTGAATGTCAATATCTGCTGATGAAAAATTCGGGCAATCCATCATGACAACGTCTTCCTTAAAATCTTTTCCCGAATATTCTCTTCTTCGCTCATGCAACCATTTACTCTTCAGCCTTTGAATTTCCTTCTCCACAAAACTCTTCTTCAATTCATGATGTGTCCAAAATGTGGCCTGCTCCTTCACGCAAATCATTGAATTATATTTTGGAGATTCTCTCCACTCCGAAAAACCGTATCTCTTGCAAAATTCATTAATAATCATGAATCCGATATTGTGTCGAGTGAGTTTATATTTTTCTCCAGGATTGCCAAGTCCCACTAGCAACAAACGAGAGGCCGCAGACGAAGACATTTTTTTCAAAAAATCTATTAAAGAGACGAATCAATTTTTCCCGTCAATTACATATTTTACTTGAATATAGGAGGGTGAATTGGATGTTTTTGTGATATTGTTTAGATAGATACAAACAAATCCATTGAAATGCAGGTGGACGATAGATGATGATACAAGGGGATTGGGGTCTAATTTGATCATTGTCTTCTGAACCATTATGGTCTCCGTTTTGACTCTTAATCTGAAGACTTGGGGGTTGGTTTTGGATCATAGACTCGAATCCCCTCTTGCTGAACTCTTCGCTAAAGCTTCATCATGTTTGTCAAACAATTGGAAATACATCAAAATGGTTGCCAATCAGAATATCATGATAGAAAAGATATTCATAAGTCCAAATGATAACTTTTCTATCATGATATTCTGATTATAGCAAATGTGATATAATTATGACCAATACTAAGAGAGCTGAAATCTGTCATTCAGAAAATCATTCATGGAATGAAAGGAAAACAAAAGGAAAGCGCTCTTATTGCGAGTCTGTGAACCTTAATACTTCCTGTTGAAATGACAATTTGGACAATTATTTGAGAGGCAATCAATGAAAATACGGTCATGTAAATAGGCAAACGAAAGTCTGGAACCATCTTCCATCGAATAGGTCCATTCGAGATTGTGATCAAAAGGAAGGCCAAAGTCAAGGTCACCAAGAATACCACAGTAACCATTCATTCCAATGAGAGCAAGTTTGAACATTTTCTTATTGGAGTTCTTTGCAATCACTGTTTTCAGAAAAACGTTTGAAACAAATTGGAAATAATCAAAAGCAAGATTGCATCACAAGTCAAACTTGAATGCTTCAATACCCATAACATACACGATAATGATGGACGCAAATGGAACTCCAGATTGGTCAATCAATGGTGAGAGTACTGTTTCTATAAATCATAATATGTCCAAAGCAGGACTGGAACCCTGACACAGATGTTAAGAAGAATAAGCAACAAAGGGCTACAAGAAAAGATTGTGGAAACAGAACTTTCTCAAATGGTTAGGATCGTTGCAGCAATCCACAACCTCATTATACCCCAACTTGGTAGAATAAAACAACTTTTTTTCTTCTAAGGGACAACCCTCAACAAGGAACATAATGGCAGAACGGCTGTTCGCTGCCGAAGAGGTTTGATAGGGCCTTGGTCGTGAATTTTATCTCTAGCCTTTCAGAACAGTTTACCCAAAACATTCAAGCTTGAAAACAATAAAGTTTTTACTTTTTTTTAACTTGCATCCTGTTGTCATGTTCCCTTTTGAGATTATTAAGATATTTATTGACATCTTGATTTTTGTTCAGTCAGATCCTTATTTCTTTTCCATACTTTTTCAATATCCTTATTGAGTTCTTTCGTTTTTTCATTCAGATTCTCAAAAATTTCCCTTATTTTTTCAATCCCCTATTCAGTTCTGAAGTGTTTTCAATAAGCTCTTGCATCTCATTTCATTTTTTATCAATTTTTGTTTTAAATTGTTGTAAATTTAACAACATGCCTGATATCATAAAGCTGTAGAAAACCTTCTCCATTACAAGTATGGACATCCACTTCTTCACGTGCTTGCACGGCGTTTTGTTTTTTTGAAATGAAAATATTTATTTGGCTGGAAATTTGGAGCCTCTTTTGAAGTCTTTTTTGTCAAATCCCTCTAGAACATAAAAACATCGTCATGAAGTACTGTTTGCCTTAATCTTCATATGAGTGTCCTTTTAGCTCAAAATTAGTCCAAGGATAAAAGAGTTGAGTTTGTTAGTACTCTCGTCACCAAAGGATCACGAGGAGATTGATGTTGAAGAACTTTATGTACTGACTTCAATGTGTTATAAAAGAATGTGATTTCACTTCTCGTTTCATTATTCCGGTACATAATCTTCATGTTGAAAAGGATGACAAACAACATGGTTTGATCCAGTCTCACCCTCTGACATCAGAAAATTGTCGTCATCAAGAAACGTTGAAATAATTTACAAAAAATTTAAAATGTCTGTACCTGCTTCTCGCTCCGGTGGCAATGCCCAGTACGACTACCTGTGTAAATTACTCTTGATTGGAGATAGTGGTAAGTGATTGCGATGAAAGAGTGTACCAGAAACAAACAGTATCCCACTTGTGATGACTCCTAATTTTTATGAACAATTTGTCCTTGATATCCTTTCTAATAGGAGTGGGAAAGAGTTGTTTATTACTTAGATTTAGCGATGATACTTTTACTACAAATTTCATAACGACTATCGGTATTGATTTCAAAATCCGTACCATTGAATTGGATGGAAAACGAGTAAAACTTCAAATTTGGGATACGTAAGTTGGCGGTGATGATGATTGTATTTGTCTGACCTATGATTGGTTTTGTTTCCGTGTTGCTCTTTGAATTGTACTCATTGTGGATCAATTGTGGTTGTTCTTTGAATTGTACTCATTGTGATGATATGGTTACCTTGTAATCGTTCAAAATTCAATTCTTGATTACGATTCTCGAACAAAATTAATCAATCACCTGTTTCATCAACAACCAACAAATGAAACTACACTTCCCAATTATAATTGTTATTTCTTGTTTATCATCATGAATATCCACAACTTTCATAGTGCTGGACAAGAACGATTCCGTACGATCACAACTGCCTATTACCGAGGCGCTATGGGTATCATGCTCACCTATGACGTAACTGATGAACAGTCGTTTTTAAACATTAGAAACTGGATGAAAAATATTGAAGAACATGCTGCCGATAATGTCAATAAGATGTTGATCGGAAATAAGTGTGATTTAATTGAAAAGAGAGTTGTAGAAGTAGAACGAGGACAACAACTTGCCAAGAGTTATGGCATACCTTTTATGGAGACAAGTGCAAAGAATAATATTAACGTAGAGGAGGCTTTCTTCACTATTGCTAGAGAAATTAAATCTAGATTAATAGATTCTGGAGAGGTCGATCCTGAGGAAACTAAAGCACAAGATAGAGAGCCAGGAAGTACTGAAAAGAAGGATCCTAATGCAAACAAAACATCAACAGGTGGAACCAATGGTACTGTCAAGATTGATTCCCAAGGCACTGGCGAGTCAGATAAGAAGAAGAAAAAGAGCTGGTGCTCAATTTTGTGAGCCATGTCATTGAAATAGGTTGAATTGATTGATGAAATATTTCCCTCCTTTTCATTCTTATTTATTCCTGAAATTCATTCTCATGAGCAAGCTCTATTTATTTGAAACAAAAGATTGTTATCCATCCTCCACTTTCCACCACAACAACAATTCAACCACCTCAACAATAACAGAAACATTTAACTCATTTATGTATTAATTGCTGCCACTGACATTGCAATAATAGTGTATAGTTAGAAAAAGGACAATATACCTCATTTGTCATCAAACAAACTCTGATTCCGTCTTTTGAATTGCACTTTCTCATTTAAACGTGATCCTTTCCAAATGAAATATCACATCAATAACTCGTTCAAGGCTGAACACTGCCAGCAAAAAACGCGCCATCCAAATCTTCAACAACCGAAAAAAAGATTATCCCCTCTGCTTGCATCATGCCACCCAAAAAGAAAGCAACAGCCTCCTCCTCTTCTAGCAGCAAAAATTCTTCCACTAAACGGAAGAGAAAAGACGAAACCGATGATGAAGCCCTATCTGACACAGCGGAAGGCGATGATGTAGAATTTATTGAAGCAGATGAAGCCTCTTCCAACAAGAACAAGACTGTTGAAGAAGTCTACAAGAAAAAGTCTCTCCGAGAACAAATCTTGTTGAGACCCGATACCTACGTAGGATCCACTCACTTGCAAGATGAAGAAGAACATTGGGTTTGGGATGATGAATTGAGTAGAATGAGACTCAAGCCTATCCGTTTTGTGCCAGCCTTGTACAAAATTTTTGATGAAATACTCGTCAATGCTGCTGATCATGTGGTTAGGGATGAGAGGTGTGATAAAATCAAGGTTACTATTGACCCTGAAAAGAATGAGATTTGTGTTTGGAATAATGGTAGTGGTGTTCCAGTCAAGATTCATCAAGAACACAACGTTTATGTTCCTACTCTGATTTTTGGACATTTGTTGACAAGTAGTAACTTTGATGATACTCAGAAAAGAGTAACAGGAGGAAGAAATGGTTATGGTGCCAAATTGACGAATATTTTCTCAGAAAAGTTCATTGTTGAAACAGTAGATAACGAAGAAAAGAAAAAGTTTCGTCAAGTTTGGACAGCCAACATGAGTAATGAAGAAGATCCAAAAATTACAACATGTTCAAAAGCAGACAGCTATACTGAAATTACTTTTTATCCTGATCTCTCAAAGTTTGGAATGGACAAGTTGGATGCTGACATTGTAGGGCTCATGAAAAAAAGAGTTTACGACTTGGCAGGAACCTTAAAAGCTGGTACTTCAATTTGGTTGAATGGAAAGAAAATAACTGGAATCAAGACATTCAAAGATTATGTAAAACTGTACACTGTAGATAAGGAAATCCACTACTTTGATGATGGAAAGCGGTGGAAAGTTGCAGTGACTCTTAGCGATGGAACAATGCAACAAGTTAGTTTTGTAAATAGTGTTAGTACTACAAAAGGAGGAAAGCATGTGGAACATATTGTAAAACAAATTACAGACCATTTGAAGAAGGCTCTTATCAAGAAGAACAGTACCATCAAACCTGCCTACATTAAGAATCAATTATGGGTATTTGTTAGCGCACTAATCATCAATCCTTCATTTGAGTCTCAGTCCAAAGAAAACCTTACCACAAATGTTAAAGATTTTGGATCGAAATGTAAGCTTGAAGAAGATTTCTTGAAAAAGGTCACCAAATTAGCTTCAGATGCAGTATTGAAGTATGCCGATTTTAAGTCAGAGAAGGCACTCAATAAGAAATCGGGCTCAAAGAAATCAAGGCTTACAGGTATTGCCAAGTTGGACGATGCCAACGATGCAGGTGGAAAGAATTCAGAAAAGTGTACTCTTATTCTTACAGAAGGAGACTCAGCCAAAGCATTGGCAGTGAGTGGATTGAGTGTGGTAGGAAGAGATAAGTACGGAGTCTTTCCTTTGAAAGGTGTTCCGCTGAATGTGAGAGATTGCAAATTAGAAAAAGTTTTAAAGAACGAAGAAATTAGTACGCTCGCCAAAATTTTAGGTCTCAAATTTGACAAGGACTACAATAAGGAAGATTTAAAAACTCTCAGATATGGAAGCATTATGATCATGGCAGATCAGGACCATGACGGCTCACATATCAAAGGTCTTCTCATCAACTTTATTCACAAGTTTTGGCCTGGTTTACTTAAAATTCCAGGCTTTTTGAAAGAATTTATTACTCCTATCGTTAAGGCAACGAATAAGAGGACTAAGAAATCATTATCATTCTTTACAATTCCTGAATACACAGCATGGAAGGATAGCTTAAGTGATCCTAAGAGTTGGACCATCAAATATTACAAGGGTTTGGGTACAAGCAACTCTGCAGAAGCTAAAGAATATTTTTCCAATATGGAACTTCATCAAAAGAGATTCAGGTTTGATGACGAGTGTGAGAAGAAAATTAATACAGCATTTTCCAAAGAATTGACAAAAGAAAGAAAGGATTGGCTGAATCACCACCAAGAAGGTACCTATATTGACCATTCCAAGAAAGAAATTTTATTCTCTGATTTCATTGATAAGGAACTCATTTTGTTTTCGAAGGAGGATTGTAAAAGATCCATTCCAAGTCTTGTCGATGGTTTAAAGCCTGGTCAAAGAAAAATTCTGTTCAGTTGTTTCAAGAGAAATCTGAAAAACGAAATTAAGGTTGCTCAACTTGCAGGTTATGTCTCCGAACAATCTTCATACCATCATGGAGAGCAAAGTTTAACGGGTGCAATTATTAACATGGCCCAAAACTTTGTTGGAAGTAACAACATCAATCTGTTGTATCCAAGTGGTATGTTTGGTACCAGGTTGCAAGGAGGAAAAGATGCCGCAAGCTCAAGATATATTTTCACAAGGCTTTCAGAGATCACAAGATACATTTTCCCAAAGGCTGATGATCCAATCCTGGATTATTTGGATGATGATGGTCAGTCTATTGAACCTAAATTCTATGTGCCAATTATTCCCATGGTACTTGTCAATGGTGCGGATGGTATTGGTACTGCATGGAGAACCAAAATTGAAAACTATAACCCTGTTGATATTGTGGAAAACTTGAAACGAATGATTAACAATGAGGAACCAAAAGAGTTTTATCCATGGTTTAAGGGTTTTGACGGTGCAATTGAGACCTATGCTTCAAAGAAATGGCACACCAAAGGTATTGCCGAAAAAATTGATGACCATACCATTGAAATTCGTGAACTACCAGTTGGAATTTGGACAGAAGTTTTCAAGGAAACTTTAGAGGAGATGATGACAAAAGAACTTATTGATGATTTTAGAGAAAATCACACAGATATTACTGTTTTATTCACTGTTAACATGACTGACTCACAAATGAAAAAGGCTGAAGAGGATGGTTTTTATGAATACTTTAAATTGTACAAAAAGTTTTCCACGAGTAATATGGTCCTCTTCAGAGAAGATGGCACTCTCAGTGAATACGACTCTGTTACAGATATATTGAAACAATTTTACCCAATTAGACTCAAGTATTACCACAAGAGAAAGGATTACATGCTTGAAAAACTTCGTAAAGAATTAGATATGCTTTCAAATAAGGTTCGATTCATTTTGGAGGTTATCAATGGAACTATTGATGTGAAGAGGAGGAAGAAGGCAGATTTACTAAATGAACTCAAAACGAAGAAATATAGTGCTTATCCTAAAGAGAAAAAGAACTCAACAGCAGATGAAAACAACGAAGACGAGAATGGGGAGGATGATTCTGAGAATGATGTACTAACAGATGGCTACAATTACTTACTTTCTATGCCAATTTGGTCATTAACTGCTGAAAAAGTCAAGAAATTAGAAAAAGAGAAAGAGGACAAACAAAAAGAAGTGGAAACCTTGGAAAGCACAAAGGTTGAAGATATTTGGTTGCGAGAATTGGATGAATTTTTGGAGCATTTAGACAAACTTGAGTCCAAAGAATTACAGGAATATGAACTTTACCTTAAAAAGATCGAAAAAGAAAGAAAGAAGGTTGGTAAAATTCCAAGACCATTGGGCTATCGTGCAAAATCTACTGATCGGCCCCCAATTCAAACTGTACAGGAGTTACGTAAAAAGAAGCCCACTACCTCCAGAAAGAAAGCCGTTAAGAAGGAGGAAGACGTCAGCGATGAGGACGGTGTTAAGAAAGAAAAGAAACCCAAGACAACGAGAAAGAAAGCAACCACTTCGAAGTCTACCGCCGTTAAACAATCAAAACTAGCATTTAAAAAGGAAAAAGAAGAGTCAGATATTGAAGAAGATGAGGATGAAGAAAACGATAGCAAGAAGAAGAAAAAACCCTCTGCTAAATCCAAGTCAGTCAAGAAGGAAGAAAAGGTTCAAGATAAGGTGGATGTTGACGATGCAGACTTGCCACTCGCAGAGAGATTGAAAAGAAGACAACAAACTACATCTTCCTCGAAGGTAGAATCAGATGCAAGTGATGACGAGATTATCAATGAAACCACTAAAAAACAGTCGTCCAGTACTTCAAAGCCACCAACCAAGAAGAGAAAGACCTCTATTACCGATTACTTGATCAAGAAGACAGTGGATAAGATGGATGAAAGTGACGACCATTCTGAGGTAGTAGAAATCGAAGACCACGAAGAAGAGGAAGAACCAAAAAAGAGACCAGTTCGATCCACTCGTCGCAACAAGAATTTTATCGATGAGGTAGAGAGCGATGACGAAGTAGAAGCTGTTTCTTCTGGCAGTGAAGCTGAAGTCGATGACGACGGTGATGATGCTGATGAATTTATTGCTGAAGATGAAGAAGATTAATTTTCTCGAATAAAGTGTGACAGCGTTTCAGATTGTATTTGAAGCAATATCCCCAATTTTTAACAATTCATGGAACAGAACAGTATCAGAGGTACCAACACCAAGCACAGGAGGAGACGCAGACACCACTTCCTCTTTCAAATGTTTGTGAATTGTCGTTAAGAAAACTTCAAGCCTTAATATATCCACCAATAATTATGATCAAGACCTAAGAATTTAACAAGTCATATGACTAAACAACTTACAATTCAGAACTCTTAGATAATTCCACTTGTTCAGAAATCCACTGACATGTTGCCAACGCTCGTTCCTTAGATTTCCTAATCAACATCCGCAGAAGAGAATCAAAATAGTCAAAAGCCAGTTCAATCGTTTCAAATGAAACTACACTGCCAACTACGATCATGGGATATTTCTCAATATTATACTTGGAGGAATAAATTTCAAAATCACGGACAATAATAAAAATGTTTCTAATCAAGCCTGTGATAAAGTCTAGTCGTGAATCTAGAAAATCCAAAAGAAATCGTACTTTGTTCACGACCATATCTGGGGAAGATTTTCGAGTGTTGTATTGCGGCGCGGTCAGTACATGCAACAGAAATGTTTGAATTACAAAGGAACAACAAGGTCCTTTAGATTGTGAAATTAGCTTTTCCTCAACTTTTTCAATTTCTCGAGTTGCCAAATCAATTCTTTCTTTCCTTCGTTGTTTTTCTTTTTTATCAAACGCATCTTCGACTTGTGGCAACTCCATTCTCTGCTTAAAAAGTATGATATATTGATTAGAATTTTGAATCCATTCTTTTTGATAATTGATTAAATGTTCCTCTTGTTTGTCCCAATATCTCTGTTTTATCCACTTCAATGCAAGTTTGGCACAATTTCGTAAAATTTCAATAGAGGGAAATTTTCGGTGAGAAATTTCATTTCTGACATCAACGAGCATCTTGGGACAATCTGCTTGCCTCGATCCAATAGCAAGAGTTGACGCTTGTTTTGTTTTTCCATCCTTGCTAAATAAATTTACAAATCTAACAATTGCATTGCTCAATGCTTGCTCTTGAATAGATTTAACATTTACACTCAGTGCATGGTTTTGAGAACTAAGAACAGAAATTTGAGAATCTAATCGAAGTCCTTCTAAAAACAAATAACTGGCTTCCACAATTGTTGAAGTTTGGATTTTAAACTTGTTTTTCCACATTCCTAATATTTCCATCGCTCGTTCTGATAATTCTGGCATTTCAATGGCAGGTTTATCAAATAAATATCGTTTCACAAATAACCATTCGTTCCAATCGTACCAAGGAATCATGGGACAATCTGGATTGTTGAAATCCAAAGAGTATCTTACAGATTGTTCATATTTGTATTGTTTATCTTGTTCCCGATATTCGTTTGGTGATTTTTTTTGTTTCTTTTGTTGAGGTTGAGAAGAATTGTTTGTACTACTATTAGATAATGATGGAGCTGCTCTCTATGATGGAAAATAAATTTCATTTCGGTTGCAACAAATTATTCGCAATAAAATATCATCGGAACAGTTTCGGAAGGATTAAATCCATATTTTGAATAATCATCATCATCCAATAATCGTGTACAAGAAATCCACATACGATTATGAATGGTTAATTTTCATCATCACACACTTGATGAACCTCAATCCTTACCTTGCTCATTTTTTTTCAAAATTCAAATTTAAATTGAAATTGTTGAGAATTTATTGAAACAGCAAATTTGCTCATGAGGCCTGTCAAAAATCTATTTCTTTTGAAGAAGGGCATTACAGACAATTGTGTTGATACCACACTTGCCAACTCCTCTGATGACTGGTCATGTTTTGTGAATGTCCATGTGGGTAAATGAACTACTACTACTTACTTCTGAAATAGCCTTTTTATCGAAATGTGAGAATAAGTTGTAAAAAATTGACTTCTGAAACATACCTTTTTCTCCCCAACCTGATACAAGAAAATTGATTTAACAATAGAAAAAGAATCATAAGACTTACTTTCTCCCCAACTATCAGAACAAGTCAAGTATTAAACAATTCGGTTAAACACATTAATTTTCAACATACCTGTTCTTAACAATCCAATATTTGGTTTTTTCTCCGATCCAATTGGTGCTAATCGTTTTCAGTAATACTAAATTGCAAATCGTTCATGAGCTACTTACTGAACTCCAAAACCAACAAGCAATACAGCATGATCAATGTCTGAATTATGGATACAATTTAGGGAAATATAACAAATATTTCTTGATGCACATGTACATACCTGGAGGGCACCACATTGGGTCACTGATTCCACTATGATAAAATTGCAACCATACAGCATTCAATCCAATTGACAATGGACCATGTTTGACTAAATAAGCAGCAATTTCATCCTCATTTGTTGAAACATTTTCATAACCAGCAATCTTAGCCACTAACTCAGCATTTGTGACACCACAAGTACGATTGCAATATTCTGGGCTTGGACAATACGTCTTATTAGTATTGCAAGGGAAACAATTTCCAAGCGGTGGAATGCAATATGGATAATCTTGTTCTGTTGTCAAGCCTCCTCTGGCCTTTAAATATTCCATAGCAACATATGGATAACCTCCAACTATTCAATATTTGAGACGTTACAATTGATTCAAACATCAACTACGTCAAGTAAATTCACAATATTACTTACAACAGCCACAGTTCAATGGATCACAATCAACTAACTGTTGAGGAGAAAATTTTGTCAAAGGATTACCGTTTAAAAAGTATTGACCTTCAATGTTTTGAATGGTACTGAATGCCCAACAACTATGTTGCAAACAAAATATTGCATGAATCTCACTTGATCAGAATGGTGCATTTTTCATAAACTCACCTTCCACAACTAACACAAAACGAGTAATCCTGGAGTAATATTTTCACACACTCACCTTGCTTGATCTTTGACCGGAGTGACGGCTCCTTTATCACGCCAATCAAAGGATTCTGGTAAAGCATTCACATCTCCATACTTTTCTTTTGGAGTGGTTGGTACATGTTTAACATCTTCATGTTTGGTGACTGGAAGTAATTTTTGTTGACTAAATTCCTGAGGTGTCATGTCCATAAATTTCGTAATTCCATATTCCACTTCCTTCTTCTCTTTCATGTGCATAATATTCAATTGATTCACATAATTAATGTTTTCATAAAATATCTTCCATCTCTTTTCGTGTTCCATCTCTGAGCCATACTTCTTATGAAAGGCAACTTTGAATTTCTCAAACAAACTTTTAGCCTCGGAAGTATCATAGGGACCTCCCAAGAATACTTTGAGAGGAATTCCTTGACCTTCCACAGTCTTGTTGTTGGTCATCATTGCAAGAATGGTGGTCATCATCATCACAAGGACAACGAACATCCCAACGATGAAATCAAGGCTTTTCATTCTTGAACCACGCGCGAGCATTTTTTTATGGTAGTTGAAATTGTTGAGCGATTCATTAGTGAACTCGGTGTAAAAAATCGAATCGACATGAAGAATCGAACAGTCTATGGGATTCTAATAGAATTAATCGTATATTATTGCAAAAGAATTCAAGAACCATGATTAGATCGCGTCCTAACTATATTCTGTATCATTCACAGAGACAGTTAATCTTAGTAAGTTCCATACGAAGAAAGAATGCCATTGGTCATTGAGTTTGCTGGGGTTGAGATTGGACTACCATTACCACCATTACCACCACCCGTCGAGCTTAAATTCAATCTCACATTATCCACAAATTTCTTTCGTTGTTTTTGTTCCAACATGAATTGTTCTTGTTGTGTATCGATGAGTTTTCTCATGTGATACAAACGTTTCTTTTCCAAATCGTTTAACATTAATTCGAGAGCATCTCTTGAGACAGTTTCTTCATAGGCAGAAATTTCTGCAAATTCTAAACCATCTAATCCTTGTTCTTCTTCTTCACGAGTGTTCACTAGAAGATATGGATATTTTCTATTGATGAGTCGAATGCTGATGGCTAAAATAAATGTGACAAGTCCAGACCAGAAGAAAGCCAAAGCAACGCCAACAATTTGTGCCAATAATTGCCATCCATTTCCATAGAAAACACCATCTGCACCTTCTGGATTGACTTTGGTGGTGGCACAGAATCCAATTGCAATGCTTCCAATAAGTCCAGTAATTCCGTGAACGCTCTATCATGTGTAAGATTGATTCATTGTGTGTTTGTAAATGAAAAATCATGATAATGATGAACGACATATATCAAAATGAATTGTAACATGTTCCATGTGAACAAAATGAACCAATAAAGTAATTCATGAAAACAAAATGAACCAATAAAAACATTAATTGAAAATCAATGTTAAAACACTTACAGACACATCAAGAGCATCATCAATTTTCAGCTTGTGTTTCAACACATAAATTCCCAAATAACTAAAAGCTCCCAAAAGTAAACCAATGACCAGAGCAGAATGGACAGTAATATAACCTGATGCAGGAGTAATTCCTGCCAATCCAGCAATACTACCATTCAACAAGCTTACCAAAGAAGGTTTCTTATTTTGAACCCAAAACATGACCAACCAAACCACTGTTGAGGTACAGGCAGCTGCTTGAGTGTTAACAATTGCTGCAACAGCAACACTTGAGGATGAAAGAGCACTTCCAGCATTAAATCCAAACCATCCCATCCACTACGAATGATACAAGAATTGAAATTTCAAAGTGAGTTCAACATGAATTTCAATATACTTACCAATCTGGAATGAAGGTTTCACAAGATGATGAAAAAAGAGTATGCGAAATGTATTATAAATTCAACAACAACAATAACAACACCATTAATAAATACTTACAAAGCAGCACCAATGGCAGCAAGTGGTAAATTGGATGGATGAGGTTCTCCATGATGATCATCAAAATCTTTTCTTCTTCCAAACACTAATGCACAAACAAGTGCTGCAATTCCACTTGAAGTGTGAATGACAATACCACCAGCAAAATCAAGAGTATCTAATGGTTGGTGTGACAAGAAACCACCTCCCCAGATAATATGAGCGAGTGGATAATATACTAAAAATTCCCAAATGACTATAAAAACGAGATATGCTATTCTCAATCAAAATTTGCACAATGAACCAGAAGGTTTGTCAATGAACATTTTGATAATTTTGGTAATGAGTATTAGTAGTAGTACTTGTCAACTTACCCCTCCATCTGAGTCTTTCTGCGAAAGCTCCTGTCATGAGTAATGGTGTGATACAAGCAAACCTTAATACATTATATGTCAAATGAAATAACTATAGTTATTGAACACAACAACGTACATCATTTGAAAGATTGCAAAAATTGCATGTGGAATACTCAAAGCATGTTGCGAACACTTTGCTAAATCAACATTCAAAAAAGCAATATAATCTAAACCACCAATCACACCTCCTTGTGTAGGACCAAAAACAAGTGTATATCCAAATAATATCCAACACACAGCCAAAACGGCTAAACCAATCCAAATTTGTGAAAAGATGGTGATGGTTTCTTTTTTTCTACTGAGACCTAATGGAGTTAGTGAAATGACCAATTTTAAAAGACAATCATGATTTTGTTGTTCACACATTGGAGTAGTTGCAATTAAAGCATGACAGTCGCATTCGAATGACCATTCAGAAATGAAAGGCATCGTTGTGGATGTGAATCGTCGAATAGAATGTTTGTCATCGATTGAATGGTGATGAACTCAGAGTCTTTCGTGTGAACACCTCTCTCTCTTGAAAACTTACCAGCTTCAAAGAATGCTAAAGCACTCATCATGGCCAATACGAGAATGGATGAAACAGTGACCCATGCAGTATCACCTGAAATGAATCAATCGAGCATATGTTTCATTGAATGGATCGACAACAAGTGTTTCATTTGTTCCGTCGACGAAGACATGGTTCAAAGTTTGAGATGATTGATATGATTAGGCCATTCGTTCATTCATTGGTGTATGTTGTACAAGGTTCATAGTCGTATAAAGTTTATGATTCGACCACATTTTGAGTGAATATGAATTTGGAAAGTGTGTCATCATCACCACAAACAATTGAAAATTAATTTCATATGAAAAAATTAAATAATTTGAATTGCGACAGGTCATTACTTACCATCATCAATGGCACAATCGATATCAGGATTAAATCCGCCATTTACAATCCTTTTAGAGGTCAATCCGGAAACCATCTTTTGAGATCAGTCTCTCCGTAAATGAATGTTATTGTTGTTGTTTGGATGATGAATTGAAATTCTTCTCTTCCAAAGGCTGATTGGAGTTGATGAAGGGAATGAGGAGGAGAGCTCAAGGGCTTGCAGATGAAAGAGAGAGGGAAAGATGTCCAATTTTTTTAAGAGTTGCATCTCCGAAGGCTTCGGAACGGAACAAGAGGGAGCGGCGAGGACGGAGTTGAAAAGTAAATTCAAAATTCTCTCTCTACAAGACAGTGTGAATGGCACATCTTTAAAGGGAATGACAAGATGCAACTTCCATCGGTTTGTTCCCGCCTTCAAAAAATTTGGTGTCTTTCGAATGTTCAGAGAATCAATCCTTTCATGCAACAACAACAACAACGAAAGGCAATCGTGATTGCTTCAAAAAAAAATCATAAAGAATTCCCATTCCTCATATCCCTGAACTCCAACAGTTGTCGTTCTAAAATATCCACCACCCTCTCTTCTTCATTAAACTATCCTTTTGAAAAAAGATTCCAAAATCCTTGTTGGATCATCTTTCGATTTTTTATAGTAATTCAACGTTGTTCTCTGAAAGGCTTGAGGTTCTCTCTCTGTCCGTACAAAAAAAGAACGTTACGAAATTGATGCGTCTGGAAATCGAAAAAACAAGTTCAAAAAAAATGAGCCAAGAAACGAGTGTATTTTCTCAGCAGCATCAACAACAACAACAACCTTTCAAAACGGTGCCGCTTCAAGAACATTCTCTTCTTCAATCATCATCATCACGATCATCATTTTGCACAACAACAACGACATTACCCAATTTTGTTTCGGCTATGGAGATTTCATCACCCGACATGCCATCACCGTTTTTAGGGAGGTGTACAAGTGCTGCCATGAAAGATATGATGAGTATGAATCAGAGTGCCGAAAAAGTTGTATCTTCTTCTACTGTAAATCATGATCACCGTAGGGATTTCCAAGAACCCTTGAGGATTAGAAGAAGAGTTGTATTACCAAAACTTATTGTTCCAAACTTGGAAAGTGTACATGAATGCGTGTTATTAGAGTGTAAAGAAAAGGAATTATATTTGAAATTAGGGAAATTTAGAGAAAATAGAGTTGATGAAATTTTGGACATGTTTGAACGAAACACCTTCTATACTACTAATATTTCCAATCAACCTACCGAAACAAAAGACTTGAGCAATCAATATGCTTGTAAATATTTTCCAACCTCGCACAGAAACGTGAATCAAATTGTACTCTTTAAAAAGGATGATGATGAACGCAACAACAAGTCATCATCCAATCAAATTTTGGAAAACCATTTAATAACGAAATCATCCATGATGACAAGTCCTCCAGAAAATAAGAAAGAGGCTACGACTTTATCACCACAACATCAAAAATACTTTCAAAAATCATCTCCGTTGCAAAGATCCAAATTGGATTTCATACCACACACAACATTTACTTTTAGCAGCAATCACGATGGCGAAGGCTATTCCCATCAAAAATTGAACAAAGCATCCAAGCGAAAGTTTATGGACGTAGAGGAATGCTGGGCGTATGAAGCTGGTACCGTCAACAACAACAACCCCCAAGGTTGTTCAACACTAACAAACTCTTATAACTACAACTGCAAGAGATTGACTTTAACTAATCCAACTAACGATCTTATTTCTCTGGACCTTAAAGTTAAAAAGACATCGTCAGTATTTGCGCATGCAAAACTTCGCAAACAAAAAGCCCAATCCAAACAAATGTACTCTTCTCCTTCCTTCCATGATAGAATAGCGTAACCTAAGCCCGTCATCATCAGCTCTAATAAACTCTTGCTTTGCAAACCGAAACATGTTTCTCAATTCGATCAGGGTTGAATTTGCGATTACAGTTTGGGCACGCAACTCGATCGTCGTCTGCATGAAGAGATTGTCTAAACATGGCTGTACTAAATGACGGAGGTGTGGACAAAGAAACACTCTCGCTGGTTGTTTTAGGCTTGTCATGCTCAATTCCAAAATTCTTGGCTCGTTCTGTCAGAATTTTGCTCGCTGGAGGATTGTTCTCCTTTTTCAAACCAATTCCCTTGCAACTGCTCTCATGGATAGGCAGTCGATCTAATGCAAACTTTCTGCCACATTTCGAGCATTCTGCACGTTCAATCTCTACGTAATTTCCTGAAGCGAGAGAGCCATTTGGTTTATGGCCTCCAACAGGAGTGTTGTTCATATTGATGGAAGATCCAGTGCTCATTGGAGAGGTGAATGGTGTCACGTTGTTCTGTTTTTCTTGAGCTTTTTCACAAGCTCGAACATGTACCATCAAACTTTCAGGGTTAAATTTCCTTCCACAATATTTACATTGAACTCTTGAACTTTGCTCATAAATTCGGTAAGCCTGTTGATTATATTCCTCAAGACGATACAAAAAATCTTCAGCTAAACGGTCCTCTGGAATGGGCACAGTTGGAGCGTGAGGAGCCTTAGTTCTGTATTCCTTTGGAAGCTCTTTTTGTGAGGTAATCCGTTTCTCAAGACATTTAGGAATGTGAAATGTCAATGATCCAACATTTAGATATTCCCCTCCACATAAATGACAGCAGTAAGCAATTGGTTTTCCATTTAAATCTCGAGTGGGAACTTTTCTTTTGTCGACGCTTGCTGGCACATTTGTTTCTCGAGTTGGTAAAAACTGATCGATTTGTGAGGAATGAACATTCGTGCTTGGCTGATGTGATCTCGCAACATTTTTTCCAGAATGCTGAGACGATAAGGCTTCAAACTTTTCTTTGGATCGATCGGGTGAATATTTTGGCTTTTCTGGTGAAACAGATCGTTGAGGTTTTATCATTGGTGTTTCTTTTTGTGGAGTGTTATTGCATGAAATAAAATGTGCTCCCAACTCTTGGGCTGGAAACAAATGCAAACATGAAGGACAAGGATTTAAACTGTCCTGCAAATACAGTGCTTTTGCAAAAGAATTGTACTTTTCAATTGCTTTTTTGTCTGATTCGGAAGAAGGATACAGCATGTTCGGAACATCCCTTGGAGGATATGCTCTCTGCAACTCTGGGATCAATTGTTTTTGCCTTGTATGCCACTCCGAGGAGCACTGCACCAGATGGGCTTGCAAACTTTCCTGAGCGATCAAACCTCCACAATAATGGCAAACGAGAAGAGTCATTTTTTTTGAAAGTTGTAACCTCTTTGAGCGGGAAAAGCAATGCAATCAAATATGATCAAGTTCTTCTTGATTCAAATCGACAAGAATTGAACGTGGAATAAAGTGAATTCGTATTGGGAGAACACACGAAGAAGTACTATGCAATTATTATAATGACTTTTTAATGTGTTGTGTTAAAAAACTAGTTTCAAGAGAGTGTGTGCGTGAACGTGGGAATATGGCAGGTTAAAAGATACAAAAAAGGTAAAATCTCATCGTTATTGTGGTGTTCAATATTGAATGAAATAATAATAATAATAATAAGGATCATCATCCTTGTCATATCATCATCATCACACTGAAGAGGAATGGATAGGTGTTGTGAATTGGGATCAACATTAATAAACTCAAACATCAAAATTTTGTCACAAACACAACCATCACCAGGTGTGTGACTATAAAGAGATCCTCTCATTGAATGATGATTTACATCAAAATACAACATCCACTCTCTCCACCACTTCCTGCATTGTTAGTTCCTGATGGCTTTCCACCTTTAAAACGAACATCAAGAGCCTTTTGGAAAATTTCATCCACACCTTTTCTCGTTCTGGCAGAAGTTTCAATATAGTGAGCAGCTCCAATTTCTTTGGCTAATTGTTCTCCTTCTTCTGGTGTGAGTACTTTTTCTCCATCCTTAGCCAATTGTTCAACCATGGCTTTATCATCTCGAATATCAATCTTGGTTGCAACAAGAATGATTGGTGTTCCCTTGCTGTATTCATTCAATTCTTTGAGCCACTGTTGTGTATACGCGACATGAAAATATTCATGAATAATAACAACAAGAGAGAGGTTCATATTATTAACATGTCATGGCGAGTGTGATTTGGGAAGACAAACACACACACATCACGAATGAGGTCATTGTCGGTGGTGACACAAAGTTGAATGAAATAGTCAAAGAGAGAATATAGGGTTAGGAATAATCATTCCAATGAGTCTACAAACCTTTTCCTTGACGTTGTCATATGAAGATTTACTATTCACTGAAAAGCAAACAATGAAAACATTTGTATTTGGATAGGAAAGATATCTGAGACGATCATATCTATTGTTTTTTGAATGACATGAAACATTCAATGGGTAATGAACGGATAAGTGTCATGATTCATTGTTTCAATCATCGGCTAGTGAAACTTTTTTGAATCATACTTACTCTGAAAATGATGAATGAATGAAATATAAATTCCAAATAAATATATTGTGTGATGAAAACAGAACACAACGTACCTTCTTGACCAGCTGTGTCCCATAAACTCAAACGAACAACGCTGTCTTGGTATTTTACATTGGTGTCATAGCTGTGTGGATAAGAGGTTGAGAGTGGTGACAGAATGAGTGAGAGGATTCATCATGACATTCCACAAGGGGTTCCGATGAGAGTGTCATCATAGAAATCAAAAGTTGATGAATTAATATTCACTTCTCGATGGAATTCATTGAAATGCACTTACTTGTCAAATACAGTCTATTATCAGGAATATGTGAATCATCATACACACACTTCAAGAATGATGATGATACTTACTGGAATGTAGTCCTCGGGAAATTCATTGTTAACGTAGACCATCAACAAACAAGTTTTACCTGGACATAAAGCAATGATGCAAAATATGAGGAAAGATGCCATCAAGTCAGCACAACAACACCATTTGGCAATTATGTCAACCGTCGTTGTGTTGTGAACATGGAACATGGAACCAAACCATCATCATCATGAATAATTGGTGTTTGAGATTGTTGAGTGTAGAGTTTTGGGTTTATCGTAAAGGAGGGTAATTGAAATTGTTAGTGATGGCTTTACGTCTCATCAAGTCACACTTACCCACAGCTCCGTCTCCTGGAAGCACACAATTTGACAATTGACAGGAGTCATGACAACGACAATAACCACAACAACAACAATTCAATCACACATTCTTCACCATGATGACTCATCATCAACGTACCTACTGCTACTACTTTACAAGTTTTGCTATTAGTGGCCATTTATATCTACTTTTAGGTGAAAATAGTCATCACCCATTATCATCATCATCATCATATACAAGTCATTTCATCATGACCCATGAAATAATCATATATGGACCAATATCATCATCAAAAAGACAGATGGATGTGCACAGAGTGAGCAGACAGCGATTCAAACAACATTCATATTGAACAATGGTCATCAAAATTGATGAACATGAGTCATCAAAGTCTTCTTTGACATTATCAAAGGAACACTCACCTTTTGTTCTTGTTTTAAAATTGTTCCTCAATGGGTCTTAACAGGGGCAACAACAACAACGAGATAAATGTTGAAAATTTTTTTTTCGGTTGATCGATGTCGCGAGCTGGTATGTCAAACGTCTTGGGCGCAAGAGCTTGTTGACCAGAAAGTGGCAGGATTCGTGACGATGGGAAAAGTGAAACGCAGCATTAGCGATGCAAGTGATTGGGTCATCAAAATTGTCAGAAGCGCCACAAAGGTTTCCATTCACAGCAACACAATGATTTCTCTCGAACAAGCTGCGCGTAGGTTCCTTACTCTTTTCATCCCTTTCCTCAGTGAAGAAGAGCGGATGAATACAACAACATCATTTACTTGTTCTTTTGTGGAGGGGCTATCGCCAATTCAGTGAGAACCGATCTCTCATGTGAAACGTGCTCTTGTTGCTTGGCTGGATATGTTTACAAAAGAAAAAATGTCTTCAGGTTCCATGTTCTCTCGCATGAAAAAGTATGATGCAGCTTTCAAAATTCGACTCTTAAATGATTCATTCCGACGACTGGAAACTCTCAAACTCTATAAGGAAGTATTGAAATTTTCTAAATTATTTACATGGCAAGATGAGAATGGAGTCATGTGGGGAGATTTAATCAAACTTTCAGCACGACAAGAAATTGAAGCTTCTCGTGAAGAAAAGGATCCGCAAATTCTTGCTCAAGCTTTAGTTAACGCACGAATGGCACTTGATGAAATGCAAGAAAAGTTCCATGCACAACAACAAAAAGTACAACAACAATTTACACAACACGTGAATAATACTAGAATGGATTCGGAACGAAATCGAACACGATCTCCATTAGAAATTATTCAGGAACGAGAAATGATGACCAAGATGGGATTTGATCCTAATATTCACTCTCCACAACATGTAAATTATTCTAATATTCCGATTATTAATGAGGACTCCAAACAACACCAGAATATTCCGATTCTTACTACCGATGGAGTATGGGATGACAAGAAGAAGAATTAATATTAATTTGGAAATGATTGTAGTCATAGAGGGAGGATCATTAACTTTTGATTTTTTAATAATAATAATTGACAATGATGAAGTGATGGATATTTAATTATTAGGTTAATTCAAATAATTATTTTTATCAAACTTTTATAGACTTGATGATGAAAAAAGCTTTTACTATAAGCTCTTTTCACGTGAGCACAACAAGATGTGAGCAACAAATGAAACAAGAGATAATTAAAACATGTGACTCTATCAGGGAACCATGGTTCTTGCAATTTGTTAAGATCATAATTACTTTTCGGTACGAGATGATTTTGAGACCGACACCACAGCATCAGAAACCAATTTTGCATGATGAATAAAGTTATCTCATAGCTCTCTCTACTGAACAATCATCATCATTAGATAATTCAGAGAGCCTCTCGAATCGAAGAGACTGCTCTTTTTACTTCTGTAAACTTTAACCGCCAATTCAACGGTCGAGGAGATGGAAAACCTCAAATAAAAAAATATTACCATCGCCCCAACCTGAATTGTTTTTGCAATGCCCGAATCTACAACTATTCCACCCCTGCTCTATAATAATTTAACTTCACCCATAAAGAGAAGATATTATACTCCGTATGAGGTGAGCGAGCATAATTGTATTGATGATTGTTGGGTGTCGTTTTTAAATAAGGTTTACAATCTGACACCACTGATCAAGCAAAACAAATGTAAGTAATGATCATCGGAGAAGAATGATGGCTTGAAAATTTGTGATCCTGAACGGAATATGTACAAAGCATCTCATTTGATTGAGCCAATTGTTGCAAATGCTGGTCGAGATATTTCGCATTGGTTTGACCCAGCAACGGAAGACATTAAAACATGGATAGATCCATTAACTAATGAGAGATGTTATTATACACCAATGAAACGCTTTCTTCATATCCCGCCACCTCCATACGAGGCTAAAGGCACTCAGAAAGAACCACAACCAAACATTCCTTGGTGGAAAGACAAGAAATATCAAGTGGGATTACTTTCAAAAAAAACGAGATTTATCAGAATTATCAACACCCTTACTCATGACGACCATCAAATTGAAGTCTGTTCCGAGGAAACTCTTTCAGAGATACTTGAGAGATATTTGAAGTTCAATGGTCATGCAGCAAGTTATACATGGAAAAGACTTGGACAGGCTCTTGATATGAGTAAGTTATTTTATATTGTGGGCGGTAATTAACAAATGTGACACTGTTTTCATAGGTAAAACATTGGCGGAAAATGGAATAGAGGACGAAGATCAAGAATTCGAAGAGTTGGGAATAAGAGACGATTATTATATACCTGCAATACATCTCATGTACAATGACGACCTGACCATTGGATGAACAACAAATAAATTAACCATGCATGAACAATCAGCAACCAAAATTGTAACGCGGTTTACAAAAAATGAAAAAATATTTATTGGCCCTTTGGTGCCTCAGGTCTTTCGTTACGGTTTACAAAAAATGAGAGTTTCAACACCACCTGATCCTTGCTGCAAATGCTTGGAAGAATTCGAAGAAGAAAACGAATCAAGCTGTTATTGTGCTTACTGTCATTGGTACTTGTGCAAACAGCACGCAGAGCAACATCGAAAACTCAAAATATTTAAATCACATTCGGAACAAGTCGTTGAATTATTAAATGGTGAAAACGGTTGCGTTGATCACACCACAACAAGAACATGCCCGTTGCATCCTCCATTTCCCATTGATACATTGTGCGTGACTTGTTCAAAGTTAATTTGTGCAAAATGCGCCATCTCCATGATGCATAAGAGCCATGATTGTCATCTATTGGAGGAGATTGAAGAAAAGGAAAGAGAAACCACACGTCACATGTTGGAAGAAATATCGAACAAGCTTGAGGAGTGGGAACACAATTTCAATGCAAACGATGAGAGTATTTCGAATGCATTTCAACAAATCAAAGAAAGACGAGAGGAATGTGAAGCTACCATCAACAAACAAGTGGAGCGATTGAAAAGTAAAATTGATGACAAAGCACAAGCACTCATCGAGCAAGTCCATGAAATCGAAAATAGAAATATCGCTACCTTGTATAAAATCAAGACTATGAAAGAAGAGATCAAACAATTCATTCAAGGTTGGAACATTAATGATTGCTCTATCCATGACCTTGTTTCGAAGAGACTGAACGAATCGGATTCTATAAAGAACTGCCGAGAGAAACTAATGAATACCACGTCGTATATTGATACACTTCATGAGTTTACGATTGAAAATTTAGATTCTTGTTGCTACAAAATTGAGGAAATATTAGATTGGAACTTTGGTCAAGTGTTGGAAGGAGACCTCGATATCCAATCATGTCACATAGATCCACACGACATCAATGTATTGCAAGAAAACGAATGGAAAACCAATAAGTGGTTGAATTTTGTGGTACATGTCCGAAATGCAAGAGGAACAGGTCTTGAAAGACGAGAATTTGCTCTCAGATCCTTCTTGTGCAACAACGAGGATGGACAAGAGATGATGAACACCCCTCAACAACAGAAGCAAAGTATCAGTGACGAGGGTCAAGGTAGATATCGAATCCAACTTCCTGTTCCAGAGATTGCAGAAACGCCAATGGAAACCAAACAAGTCGTAAGGTTGCACGTTCAACTTCTCCAACATGACATTCCTGGATCTCCACTTGCAATCACAATCACCAACAAGCAGACGATTCAATTCTTGGGTTTTGTCACATGGTCTCAACACTCGCAAACTCAAACGCTCCAACAACAAGACACTCTCATGCATGAAGCAGCTAAGAGACAATTCGGAAATGACGCCTATGCTCTCTCAGCAAAGGAATTTAGCACGGAATTGGAGATTGAGAATTTGCCCTCTCACAATACTTCAGGATTCTATTTGACGTTTACCTCACCAGACAATACTGGCAATCTGAGCTCTACTTCCTTGTCTGGAGTTGCTTTGAAAGGAGTGTCTCCAGGTTACTCGCTTAACTTACCAGGGATGTTTAATCATTTATCTTTGACGAATTCTGTTCGAGCTTGTTTGGCAGCGAGAAAGAATTGATCATCAAAAGCCTTTGTAAATATGAATGTACAATTGTTTAAGGATTATCGTATTCGAATCACTGGGGAAGTAACGTTCATAATGTTCTCAATATTTATTGAAACCACAAAAGAAGATCTCATTTCTGAATGGTGTTTTGAAAGGTTTCGAGTGGGTTGAATTTATTTGGGTGGACCAAAGTAATCTTACTGCAATTAAGCACTACTACTCAATCACTACTACTCAAAACGGATGCTGAAGGCTGCTGTTTGTATGATTGCTTGGTCAGCCCCAAATGGCAACTGGAGGCATCTTTTTATTTCTTCTGTTTAAAGTCCAATGTTACAAAGTAAAAGAAGGCAACACTCCGATTTTTAAACAAGATGGTTTCCTTAGATGTTTCACGTGAAAGACTGGCAAGTAGGGTAAGAGAGTAATTAAAAGAAGCATTTTATTAAAATTAATGAAGACATTTTTTGTGGTGATGAAAAAGATTTTGTTGCTATTCTGAAGTACAACGTTACAATTTATTGACATGATGCCTCAGAGTGGTCAAAAGAAGCATCTTTACTATATGATTGGCTACGGCCATATCACGATGAATGCACCTCATCCCGTCCGATTTGAGAAGTTAAGCATCGTCGAGCTGCATCAGTACTGAGGTTGGAGACAACTTGGGAACCTGCAGTGCTGTAGCCTTTTTTCGTTCGCTTGTTTTTGGGAAACACTGGTTTGTCAATGTTAACTTGTTTAAAAAAATAGATCTTGATCTTCACCATTTCTTCCATTGTTTCATTTACCATGCAAAAGTCTTCCAACCTTAAAAAACCATCCCGAGGCCATTTGTTGTATAAAGATGAAAGAATTGAATCAAAGGAAATTATTGAGGTGGAAAAAACATCCTCACTGGATGAACCTCAAAAAGTAAGGGATTCAGCTCAAGAAAACTCTCTAAAGCAGGGAATAAACGAAGAAGATGAGTCAGAATTTTGTAAGTAACTCACAGAAAGGATGGCGAATTTCAGGATCATCGGGTTTTTCATCATGTTCTAGGGAAGAGAATGTCCAGTAGTGCAGAAGAATATTCAACCATTCATCACATGGTTCCGAGATCCAGTAAATCTCAACAACAATCTCCTAACAAGGAACAACCATCCAACTCATCTACTGGAGTACAGGGTTATGGGATGAGAACAAAATCCTCAAAGGAGGATGAAAATCATGACTTTGAGCCTAAGTCGTTCGTACAACAAAACAAAAGTAACAACACCCCTTCTCCCGAGCAAAATCGAGAGGGTGTAGGGAACGAAGGATATCGGAAATCTATGAGGGGATCGGACGAAATTGATGCCAAATTAAGCGTTATAAGGGAGAGAGTAATGAGAAGACTCTCTCCTGCAAGGACTTCAGACCGAAACGAGAGCACATCAACAACGTCATCTCCAACTCGGGGTGTCCATTCGCAATCTGTATTATTAAGCAATAACATACGTGGTAACTTGGCAAACAGCAACAGCGGCGCAATTGATTTACAAAATGACTTGGAAAAACAACGACTCCGATTTATGGTCATTAAATTGCAAAAAGAATATCAAAATACAAGAATAAGAGAAAGGAGAGCCACATCACTTGCTAGAACCTACTCTGAAATTGTTGCCAAACACCAAAATTATGTGAATAATTTGAAAAGGAAATATTTAGAAAAGGAAAGAGAAATTATTGAACTGAAAGACACAATAGAAGAATTAAATGGAGCTCTTCAGCGATGTCAACTGTCGACCCAAGCTAAAAATTCCACAAAATCGTTAATTGACAAGATTTCATCTAATTTTGACACTATTTTAGAAGCAATCACTTCAAAGAAAGAACTGCTTCAAGTCATTGAGGAACAAAAAGAAGAACTTTCTCAAAGCTCTTTAATTATTAAGAAATTATTCACCCAACAGTTCTTGGAGGAGTAAAGCGGCATTTCAAGCGCTCCTTCTGTCAATCATTCACTTCTCCTCAATAAAACCTTCCAGCTCCAACAGAGAATCCACTCATCACATTTCCGTTACAATTTTACTCAACAATCGCAGATAAAAAAAATGAGAGTATACGACGAGTATGAATTGTACGAGAACAGCCGTCGGTTTCTAGTTGTACCGAAGGTGTTACCCAATCACCAAAAGAATAATGCTACCAACCAACAACAAACAAGTAGCTCTACAACAACTGCTCCGATGAGAAGAGTTCTGAACTATGAAAATATGTGTCTCATTGATAGGGATACCCAACTTGTTTCAAGACTTTCCATCAATCCATCCGATACACAAATCAAGGATAACGTCTTCAAAAAGATGAAGACCATGACCCGTATATTTGGTGTTCTTGGTATTGTTACATTGGTTTCTGGTCCTTTCCTTGTGGTAATACTGGAAAAGGAGTACATCGGAATGATCCAAAAACACAAGATTTACAGAATCAAAAAGATTCAATTCATTCCATTTAAACCTTCTAGCTTCAAGTCTCAAACTGAAGAAATGAAGGAAAAAGAAATTCAGTATATCGAGATGATGAATAGAGTCATTGTTGATGACAATAGTTTTTACTTGAGCTACTCGCTTGATTTAACTCATCACTTACAAAATACCTTCTCTACCAATCTTGGTCAGGATATGGAAAACTTGGGTGGTTGGCGCAATGCTCACAACAAGTATTTTTGGAACAGAACCATGCTCCAGTCTCTCATGACAAAGCAAATGGATGGTTTTATTCTTCCTGTCATTAGAGGCATTGTTGAAATTTCTTCATGTACAATTAATGGAAAAGTTTTCACATTTGGTATTATTTCCAGAACTAGCACAAAAAGAGCAGGTACAAGATACATCATGAGAGGAGCTGACGAAAATGGTTACGTTGCGAACTTTGTTGAGAGCGAGCAGTTTGTATACTATGACGGTATTTTATCTGCTTTCCTCCAAATTCGTGGATCTATCCCCTTGATTTGGACTCAAGAAGCCAATCTCAAATATACCCCAGAAATTAAGTTTTTGACAGACAAGCAAAAACAACAATTGGCCTTTGATAGACACTTCCAATATGTTTTGAGAGAATATCAAAATAATGTGACAGCGGTTAATTTATGCAAAAAAACAGGTCAAGAGAGTAGACTTAGTGAGCTTTATACCAGTTATGTTAAAAATGTACCTGGTGTTACCTACATTCATTTCGATTTCCACAATGAATGTAAGAACCATGATACAACCAAACTCTTCACAATGTTTTTGCCAAGTATTAAGGATAGTATGAGAAATATTAAATATTTCGCAGCAAAGCTGGAGGACAGCAAGGAAGATGGAACATGGTTACCTGATGATGGAAAGGCCTTTTCTTTCTTGGGTCGAACTGTCTCAACACCTCTGTTGTCAGCACCTTGGGATGACGAGATGAGTACCACAACCAGTACATCTGGATTCGATGATGATTTTAATTCACAATTTCCAAACAATGGCAACAATGGCAAACAAAATAACTCCAGTTTATTAGATTTTGGAGAATCTACAACATTCCCTATTCAGCAGCAAGTTCCACAACCACATCTCACCTCTTCTATTTCTACTCCTCAAGTGAATTTGGCTTCCATTGATGATCCTTTCGCTGATGTACTAAATTCAAAGTCGACTGAAATGGATGTCAAAGTTTTTGAGATGCAAAATGGTGTGTTCCGTGTTAACTGTATTGATTGCTGTGACAGAACCAATTACATTGAGACATTTATTGCAAAATATGTCATGATGGAACAACTTTATCGAATGGGAATCACAAAATCCAGAGAGGATCGAATGGAAAATTACCCAGATTTCGAACAAGTTTTTAGACAATTTTGGGTGAACAATGGTGATAGAGTTTCTATTTTGTACAGCGGAACTGAAGCCCTCAAATTCCAAAAGAGTGCTCAAGGTTTATTGAACGATGGTGTGAACTCTGTGAAACGATACTTCCTTAACAACTTTAAGGACAGTGAACGCCAGAAAGCTATAAATCTTGTGTTAGGGCTTGTGGATGTGAATTCAGCCGAAGAGCAAGAAAGCAATAGCCCTGCTAATATTGTTCAAGATCTGTTGATTTTCTAATCGGTCTTGCATTCATTAGATATCATTCAATAAATATTGGCGATAATTTTTATCCTTTACCTCTGAGTGTCGTGTCAGAAGTAACAACTGTACCGCACAATTTCTGAGCTCACAGTCTAAGAAATGTGTTAAGGAAGCAACTCCACTTCACAATCGTCATCTTGAATCAGCAACACTGGGAATAAATTATCACGAGAAGGAACATCAAATGCTTTGCCGTACGCTTTATCGTTCACAATGAAGGAAATCTTGTTTTCTTTCAAAACTACCTTCACCACCGAGTTTTCACGAATTTGTTCCCCAATGTAGGGACTGTTTCGTTTGGTTGGGCTAAATAAACGTCCATTACCAATCTTTAAATAATATCCTCCTGTATTTTCGTAATCTAGCGAATCAGAATGGAC